AGAACTGGCGTCCATATGGGATCCTGGCATATTCAAGGCAAGGACTTTAGCCATTAGGCCACCGTGCTGGGCCCATCATAGTCCATTCTTGAAGAGCTATGTCCAGGGAATTATGTCACTGCAACCTGTTTGTTACTGACTGGGAAAAACAATGATTACCTTTAGGATTAGGAAAGAAACAAAGAGAGTCTACTCAGAACTGTAAGATATATATGCAGTGATTTCTTCTTGAAATTCTCACAGAATTGCCTTTTCTGATGACAGCAGTGATCAGTAGCAATGAGGCAGAAGGAGTATCAGGAAATTAGTCATTTTCTGATTAAAACGTTGGCTAGTATCACCATAATACTCTTACAATAAGCATATATCGTCATTGTTTGTCCCCGCAGAAACTACTAACCAAAATACTTGGAACTTGGCAAGCAATTGTTGCCATGAACTCTGCTCTGACTAGTCTGATTTTGTTTTGACTGGATCACTTCTATCTCTTCGTAGCCAAATAGATTGTGCTTTGTCTTCAAGATGCTAATAGCACCGCCATGGTTAATTTTTTTTTTTAGTTTAATTTTTTCTGTATCTAAAAGGCAGATTCATGCATTGACAGTGATCTTCCATTCTGTCATCCTCTATCGCTTTTCCTACCATAAGCAGGAAGCTGGATCAGTAAGTGAAGCAGCCAGGACATGAACCTATATAGGATGCCAGCATCTGCAAGTGGAGGTCTAAGCTGTTGAGAAATTGTGCTGACACTGATTTTTTTATAATTTTTGAAAACTCCTTCGGATCTTGATCCCCCCTTGTTTGAAATTTCCATAGAAATCTCTGACCTTGTCTGCAGCTGATCTGGGTATAATAAATTGGCATCCATTCAACAGAAAGTTTGTTCCATTTAAAGTTTTCAGTCTTAATTGTGTACCATCTGAAATATCCATAGCACTAGCAGCTGCTTTTGATGTTAAACATTGGTCTTTAAGAACGGCAAGAGTAAGTTTAACATCTTCCAGTATCATCACATGCCTTGAAAAAAATGAGCTGATTTCTTTGGGAGATTGTCCCATCAACTTTCTGTAAAACATAAAAATTTCACCATTCTACCTGTTTTTGTGTAGAACTCATGTTATTTTAATGTAGCTCTTAATCCAATGTCTGATGCTGCTGAGTTCCTAAAACTGGATCCTGCGTAGACGTAGCCAAAAAATGCTTGAAAGGCATACAGTTACTTCATGAAACAACATTCTCCTTCAGCATGTTCACCGCCTCTTGATTTGTGGGTCAAAGAGTCACTGTAATTACAGGAAACCTAAGTGATTGGTAGCTGAACAAATGAAATGGCATTATGTTTGCTGAAAGGAACAAAATCTTCTGTGAGAGAATTTCCTTGAGTAAACAAAAAATATGGAATTGGATTTAGAGAGAAATAGAGAATTTATCCAGAGTAACCAGACAGAAATTATAGACAGACACATGCATACCTATATATAACAATGAGTACATATGGAAGTTACCTGGTAATTTCATTGTTCTCTCTTAATCAGCTGAAAGTAAAACTGGGAGAAGAGTTCTCAATTCTCAAGGAAAAAGGAGGTATAAAATAGTGATCTTAGAGTATGTAGTAAGAAATGAATTTGGAAAATACAAATTGATGGCCTATTAAGAATGTAGTATGTAAATAAAGTGGACCTACTTGTAATGGCTGGGTGATATTTTTTCTACTCTCACTAAATTAAAATTTAAGATATGATTGGAGGTTAGGTCTAGAGATGATTGCCATAGCAAACAATAGTTTATTACAGTTCCCAGAAGGCATAGTGCAACACAAAACCTCTCAGGGCAGCCCTGGCTTCTTTCAAGAGGCAGAGGGACAGAGTAAAAAAGGTGGCGTAGGGGCTTTGATTTCTGCCAGAGGGAATGTGTGTAGCAGTTTGAAAATATTTGAACTTGTCTGCTTTGAATAATTTTAATAGGTCTGGGGCATATGGGTGAACCTGTTGGACTGGGTAGGCAGATGTCAGCACCTAGAGAATCCCGTGAAGCAGGTGGATGAAGGTGCAGACGCTGGAGTTTGTTTGGTTTGTATTTGAGATGTGCGCCACTGAAAGGAAGACTCCCATATTTCAGAAGGAAGCAAAGAGGGAGGCAGGAAGCCAGAGGAACTTAGGCATACTGTCAGAAAGAGGCATCAGTGACTTACCATGCAGATTACGTGTTAAATCATCAAATGTATAGAAACTGGAAACATGGTTAATACACAAAGGGTCAAACTAAGGAAATAATTGGTACTAATCACACTTTTGGTTTTACCAAGCATAGTGAAAGAAAGAACAGAAAGGAACGGTAGTATGACTTAGGGCTGATTCTTAATTACTCTCTGGGCTGGATTTTGTGGTGCAGCATGTTAAACAACTGCTTGGTAGGCCCACCTTCCATATTGGAAGTCCTAGTTACTATGCTTCTGATCCAGTGCCCTGCTAGTGCTGCTGTGAAGTGGCAGATGATGGTTCAAGTACATGAGTTCCTGCCACCTATGTGGGAGATTCAGAAGGAGTTGAAGGCACCTGGCTCATCCCCAACAGTGAGGCCATTGGAGGGTGAACCAACATGTAAAAGTCTGTTTCTCGGTATCATTTTGCCTTTCGAATAAATATATGTCTTGGTAAAGGCCAACATCAAGAGCCTAAAACTTCATCTAGTTTGCCCATGAGGAGGCAGAGACCCAGGCATTTGAACTGTGCTTTGTTTGCTACCTTCCAAGACACATTCACAAGAAGCTAAGCTGAAGCGGAACAGCCAGGGCTTCAAGCACCACTGCCAGCTTCACGTATAGCAGCTTTGTTCACTGTACCATAATGCAAGCTTCAGTAGTTGATGATTTTAATAACAGTATCGCTATTTAATAGGAGAAGAGAGAATGGATTGTAGTCAATTATGGAGCGAACAAGGAGTGAGAAAGTAAACAATATTATTGGCTAATTTTTTAAGACCATGAAAGGAAGGGAAGATACAGTATTAGGCAGATGTATATTGGATTTTTGTCATAATGAATACCTGAGAGAAGCTACTCATGAAGGATGGAGATTTCTGTTGGCTTCTAGTTTTGGAGGCTCATTCTCCAAGATCAGGTGGTTTCCATTGGTTCAGCCATCTGGTAGGCTAGGGGATGCAAGAGCAGAGTTCATGTGAAAGCATAGTGGTGAACTCAGAAACAGAGAATGGCTCAGCCCAACCCTCAGTGTTATAAGGACCTCTTACTAGAATCCCTTCCAAAACACTTAACTGGATCAAGTCTGCACTAAACTGACACCACTAACCCATGATGGTTCAGATACCTGCATGAGTTGGGTAATCAAATCCTGTTCAAATCATACCAGGAGGACCTAGATACAGAAAGAATTTGAGGACCCAGTGTGGCAGCCCATCAGTGTGGTAGTGTAGTAATGCTCTGTCTACAGCACTGACATCCCATGTGGGCACCATATGGTTCCTGGCTGCTCTATTTCTAATCTGGCTCCCTGCTGATGGCCTGAGAAAGCAGTGGAAGACGCCCAAAGCCTTGGGCCCCTGCATCCAAGTGGGAGACGTGGAAGAAGCTCCTAGCTGCTGCCTTCACACTAAGCCAGCTCTGACCATTGTAGCCATGTGCAGAGTGAAGCAGCAGATGGAAGATCTCTTTCTCTGTCTTCCTTCTCTGTCTCTTTAAAAACTTGGCATTCTCACAAAAATGGAATGAATTTGAAGTTTAAGGTTTGACTACAGTACAATTATGTATTTATGGTGAAAAGACAAGGACGAAAGTTATAGGAGCCCTGTAATGATAGAAACCAGGTTCTAAAATGCAGGTAACATATTGGAATTGGCTAAGAATGGTAATTCTTTACTGAAATAAGAAAAAGTAGGAGATGGATTAAGATGAATTTGAAGGAAGTGAAGGAAAAATTTTAAAAGGTAGAAAAATAGTTTGAAGGATGTTTTACATAATCAAAAATTTTCTTTGTTAAATGCTGGGAATAAAGTCCTTCAGAGGCAAATGAAGGAGGATCGGGTAGTATATTAAAAATAGAAAAAATTTTAAAAGTACACAGATGAAATTTTACAGATTTATTTTTTAAAATAATAAGTTAATGTCCACAATAGTAGCTATGCTGGATGCCAGGGATAGAGCAGTGAATAAAACAAACTTCTTGCTGAAAACATGTTTATATCTTATGGTGCAGTTAGCAACAACAAAAAAAAATACCAAGTAACTACAAGAGACAAAAAATAGAACACAAATATTTTAATTTTAAAATATTTTTTTAAATTTTTATCTCAGCTTTAGTGATTTCAAACTGAAAATATTGTTAAAAAGGTCTTATTTTGGAACATATTTCCTTTTTGTGATCTAAGAGTGTATCTTCGTCATCTTATAGAAATCCACAGTATAAAACATTACAATGAATAGGTGCTAGATTGTTCTTGTCTGAAGAGACTTACAGAGTAAACCTGATAGTAATTTTCCCTCACTCTTGGATGGCGTTATGGTAAAGCTGCTGACTGTGATGGCTGGCATCCTACTCAGGTGCAAATTCATGTCCTGGCTGATCCATTTCCTATGCAGCTGCTAGTGCCCTGGGAAAACCGTCAAATGCCAGATACTAGGACACATGCCATTTGTGTACGAGACCTGGAAGAAGCTCCTGGCTCCTGGCTTTAGCCTTTCCCTTGTAGCCATCTGGGAACTGAACCAGTGATGGAAAAACTGACTCTTCTTCTCTGTATAATTTTTTTAAAAGATCTATTTATTTTCATTGGAAAGGCAGATTTACAGAGCTGAGGAGATACAGAAAGATAAAGAAAGATTTTTACTGGTTCACTCCCCAAGCAGCCGCAACAGCTGGAACTGAGCTGATCCAAAACCAGGAGCAAGGAGGTTCTTCCAGGCCTCCCATGTGAGTGCAGGATCGCATCTCTACAGGTTTCACAGGCCACAGCAGGGAACTGGGTGGGAAGTGGAGCAGCCGGACATGGCCCCACATCCATTTGGGAATCCAGCACATGCAAGGTAAGGATTTAGCCACTGAACTATCATTGCTGGACCATGTGTAATTCTTTCAAATAAGTATTTTTAAAGTAGTTTTCTCTTACATACAAATATTTTGATTTCGTATTCCTAACCTTATGAATAAATTAACTTATATAACCTATGAGTTGGATACTGTATTTCTTCATTTTACAGAAGAAAGCTAAGATCTAGTTAAGTTGGGGTGTTCTTTGAATCTGACTACCTGAATCAAATATTAACTGTTAAAATGTTTCCCTTTAGGTCTCTTATTTAACAACCTATTAGAGTTTACAAAGGCAGAAATGACATAATGCATGTAAACTCTTTAGAACTTTACTTAAACACACTTGCTGATGGGTGGAACTGCTTTTCTCAACCTGACCAACACCCAGGCCTGAATCACATGATTACCAGTGGAAGCTGCGGCCCACAGAGTTACACACAGAGAGGAGGAACACACAGAGAGATGCATCGACTGGTTCACTACCCAGATGCCTAGAATCTCTAGGGCTGGGCCAGGCTGAAGCCAGGAGTCCGAAGTTTCTCCAAGTCTGCCATGGGGTTGAAAAGGCCCAAACATTTGGACAATCCTCTGCTGCCTTTTCCGGGCTGTTGACTGGGAGCCGGAAACAGGTGCACATATATGAATGTTTGGCATTACAGGCTGTGGCCTTACACATTACACCACCTCATCCCTCAAATAGCTATATTTCAGGTTCTGTGTTTAGATATTGTTCTGGTTTTTAAATGAAAGTATTCTTTTTTATTTGTACTGGACTTTTCAATCTTGCTTTCTCTGTATTTCATTTTCCTTTTCTAGGAGCAATGATTCACAAGCAAAAAAGTCTATTAGCTTTATTGGTGCAGGAAAAGGAGTTCCAGCAAAAGGATATGCTGGTGCAAATCAAAGCAAAATGGGCATGTCAAAAACCACGCTTACTCAATCTGATGCAAAGGCTGTAGAAAAAATGAATATTCCCACCACAAAGACAATACAGGTAATATTCCTTGGAGTTCTGAGTGTATTTGAAAATGATTCCATGAACAACCTAATTGGAACCTTAAAATAAAAAAGTGCTGCTTTGAATTAAGCACTGACTTCTAATAATGAAAAGCTGATTTTTTTTTTTTACCACATACAACTTGTTACCGACAAAAATATTGAAATATAATGAGGAAAAATCTTATGAACTTAACTCTAGTAATTTATGGTATTAATTAAGGCTAACACAATATTACTATCCACTCTTCTCAGCACTATATGGATATACCATAAGATCAATACTCTAAGAGTTTGTTCTTTATCTTATTCAAAAACTTATCTTTGGGGCCAGAATGATGCTAATCCTCTGCCTGTGGCATCCCATATGGGTGCCAATTTGTGTCCTGGACGTCCCACTTCTTTTTTTTTTTTAAGATTTATTTATTTATTATTGAAAAGTCAGATATACAGAGAGGAAGAGAGACAGAGAGGAAGATCTTCCATCTGATGGCCGCAATGGCTGGAGCTGCGCTAATCTAAAGACGGGAACCCAGAGCCTCATCCAGGTCTCTCACATGGATGCAAGGTCTCAAGGCTTTTTTGGGACATCCTCTACTGCTTTCCTAGGCCTGAAGCAGGGAGCTGGATGGGAAGCAGGGCTGCCGGGATTAGAACCGGAGGCCATATGGGACCCCTGTGTGTGTGCAAGGCAAGAACTTTAACAGCTAGGCTACCATGCTAGGCCCAGCAGCTTACTTTTTAAAGTTTTCTATTATCAGAGCAAAAGATATACACAGAAAAGTACATATGTACACTAACATCATAGTGAATTTCACACTGAACCCATAAATGTGCCCAGCAACTAAATTCAGAAACAGAAGAGCATCAGAACTTCAGCAGCTCCTTTTAGTGCTGCAGCTGTCATTAAGCATCACAATTATGCTGTTAAGTTTACTAATCTACAGGATTAAGAATGAACAGAGCCAAATGAAAATGACAACTTGGAAAGTATTTCTTAATAAAACATTAAATGTAAAGTGGTGAGTATTTAAGAAAGCTTATACATGAAACAGTGAGAACATCAAAACATAACTCATCTGTAGGAGTTGTCCCTTGATCCTTCTTCCCTGAACTTAATACAGTTATATGCTACATAACGATTTTAAACCAAAGGTAGGCAGTGTTTATGGCACATTCCTAAGATTATAATGGCTCTGGGTTATTCCTGTTACCTAATGATATCGTGGCCATTGTAATATCTTAGTGAAAAGCTTTACCTGTTTGTGGCGACTCCAGTGCAAACAAATCTGTGCCACTATACAATAATTATACACATTACATAAAACTTAATAATGACAATTTTTGCAGACTTATGTATTTGCTAATCTGTATTTTCTCATCATTATTTTAGAATGTGCTAATTTTATATTATGCCAACAGCAGCCTAACACATCTCATGCTTTATGTGTCTCTTCATTGCGTTAAAAGGCTATATCAAGTTATTGACATATATAGGTTTAAGTATACACTATGATATTTAAAAAATGGTAAAGTCACCTAATAATGCATTTCTCAGAATGTATATATAGTGTTATACAAGGCTTCATTGTATTTCTGGTATGAAAGTACTTTGAGGGCCCAGCGTGATGGCGCAGTGGTTAACATCCTCACCTTGCACGCCCGGGATCCCATATGGGCGCCGGCTCTAATCCCATCAGCTCCACTTCCCTTCCAGCTCCCTGCTTGTGGCCTGGGAAAGCAGTCGAGGATGGCCCAAAGCTTTGGGACCCTGCACCCAAGTGGGAGACCGGAAGAGGCTCCTGGCTTAGGATCTGCATAGCATCGGCCGTTGTGCTCACTTGGGGAGTGAATCATTGGACGGAAGATCTTCCTCTCTGTATATCCGACTTTCCAATAAAAATAAAATAAATCTTAAAAAAAAGAAAGTACTTTGAAAATTAATAAAAAATAATGGAGTTAAAAAACATTTAATATTTCCCACAGACTCTTTAAATACCCTCTTTTTTTTCTGGGGGAAAAATCAGGAATGATAAATATATGTCTAGTGAAGAAATGAGGGACTGCCATTTTGGGACAGTGAGCTAAGTTTGCTGCGTATAAACTGACATCGCGTATCGGAGCACAGTTTTCAGAACTGGCTGTCCAACACCCTGTTAATGCATGTAGGAAAGCAAGAAGGGAAGGCCAGTGGTACTTGGGCCTCTGCTGCCCATGTGAGAAAACCTGAATGGAACTTCAAGCTTCTAATTTTGTCCTGGACTAGCCCAGGCCATTGCAGCCTTTTAGACAATCAATCAGTAAATAGGAGATTTCTGTCTCTCCTCCAGCTAGTTACCGTCTCCACTTGTCTCTTTCTGCTACAAAATGCTTATGTTATTGTTTTACATATTTGTCCTAGTATTGGAGGATTATACTTATTTTTCCCTAGTAATTTCTAGTTTTCAGGATGTGTTGTTTAGAAATCTCATCATTTGTGGCTATTTCATTTTCAATAATTTTCTCTTACAGGTTTTTGATGTAAATGGAGTTGATGTTACTCCCCGGCCTCTTTATCATCCAGATCCACATTCTGGTGCAGCAAAGCCAAGTAAACTATTAACATCACAAGAAGGATCAGTTGGATCAGACTTTATAGCTTCATACAGCCTTTATCAGAATACCTTAAATCCTAGTATGCTAGGACAGTTTACAAGGTAAAGAATATAGTTCTGTAGTTTTAATATGCGAATTTAATATGCACATCATCTTTTGTTTAAGTTGTATATGTGTGACTTAGATATCATTTGTCTCCAGCCTTGACAATTTTTGTTTTCCAAAGGTGCCATTTTTAGGTTCATCTCATGCTTCAATTAGATGCAGAGCTCTACACGTTTAAGAGCTCCTCTACTCTCAGAGTAATCTTAGTTTATACACTAACGTTTAAGATAGCTTAAGTTAGTATATACACTAGCATTTCCCAAGGAACCAAAAGATGAGACTAACATTTCATATGCAGAATTCATTGCAAATTCCCATTAGGTGTTTTCTTCAGCTTCATCTGTGCTCCGTATTTTTCATTGTTGTTGTTGTTGTTGTAAGGAAATACCCTTTACTATTTAAGTCCACGCAAATCTTTGTACTTTTAGAGTTTCAAGTTTTTTTTTTTTTTAATACTGGATGGTTATAGTTTGCTCTAATGCCTGCATTCAAGTTGTATGCAATACACTGAAGTGTTCTGTCACACAAAGAATATTTCAGTATACTTGACCTCTACTTGGCCACCCTTTTAATGGGCAGTACAGAGTATGAATAGAGAAAATGTATACAGTTTTGTAGGGTAATATTAAGTTTGTAAATTTAAAGACATTCTTTTTGAATTCTTCTACTGATTTTTTAAAATTAAATATTCAGAGAACCTTTACAAAATTGAACAAAGTACATTTTTAATATGGATTTGAAAAATGAGCAAAATCAGTCGGAAAAAAAATGAAAGAAAGAGGATTCTGAGTGGAGGTCCAAAAGTAATAGCTCTAAAACACTGAGGAACTAAACATAAATAGATAAATAAAATGTTAAGGGAAGAATTATATTGCAGATGAAGTATCTGCATAGGTAGGCTAACTTGTGTTTTGTATTTTCAGTTTGTTATGGTTTTTTGTATTTTTTGTTATTATTTTCTATAATATAATTTTGTGGAGTTTCCCCTTCAGCTCCACTTCCTCCCCATTTTCTCCTACCCTCCCCCACCACCATCATTTTCCTCTTTTTTACAAGCAACAGCCACAGGTCCAACATTCTGCTATTTAAGTGTATCATGGCATTGTAAGTATAGACAATGGTGGAAAATCTAGTATCATATTGTCAAGATATATTTAACATTTCATTCAGAGTCCTCCTTTTTATTTGGGAGTAGAGATGCATACTGCAATGTATTTTCACTTTCCAGTATGCTAGTTTCTATTATGCAGTTCATCTATGAGAATAAATGTTGTATATATGTTTGTTCACCTTTGAATCCATTTGTTTTATATTTTGCATGAAGTTTTCCTTATATCAGAGAGAACATGTTATTTGGGTTTTTTTGGAGGAGGGTGGGGTTTTGGTGTTGGCTTATTTCACTGAGCATAATGATCTCCAGTTCAGACCATTTTGTTGAAAATGATAGAACTTCATTTTAAAATTTCATTTCTAATGGCTGACTAATATTAGATAGAGTGAATGTACCACTATTTCTTTATCCATTCCTCTTTCAATAAAGTGTGGATTGTTTCCATGTATTTGTATTGTGGATTGTGCTGCTGTAAAGATAGGGTTGCAGGTCACTTTCCTAAATGCAAATTTCATTTCCTTTGGATATATTCCCAGGAGTTGGATAGCTGGATCACATGGTAAATCAATTTCGGTTGATTTAGCACTCTCCATACTGATTTCCGTTGTTGCTACATTAGCCTACACTGTCACAAACAGTGGAGTAGGGTACTTTTCCTCCACATCTGTGAGAGCAGGTGTTGGTAGTAGACCTCCAGATGTAGGCCAGTCTCGCTTGAGTTGGGTGGAACATCAATGTGGGTTCTATTTGTATTTCCCTGATAGCTAAGGAACCTGAGCATTTTTCATATGTGTACTACCCATTTGAATTTATTCTTTTTTTTAAAAAAAAATGCCTGCTCATTTCCTCTGCCCATTTTTTTTCAAGAAAAAAAAAAAACCAGGTTTGTTTGTTTTTCTGTTGTTGAGTTTCTGAAGCTGTTTGTAAATCCTAGATATTATCCCTTATCTGCTGTCTAGAATGTAAAGATTTTGTACCTTTTTTTTTTTTTTTTTGCTGCTGCTTTATTTCATTGATCATTTTGTTTGCAGTGCAGGAACTTCTTAGATTGGTGTACTCCCATTTGTTTATTTTGGCTCTGACTACCTGTGCTTTTGGTGACTTTTCTAAGAAGTCTTTAATAATGCCTATATTTTGCAGAGTGTTTCCTATGTTTTCCTCTAATAGTTTGATGGTTTTGAGATTTAGGTCCTTGATCCATTTCGAGTGATTTTTGTATAAGATGACAGTGGGGGTATATTGTTTCTTACTTCTGCAGGCTGCTGTCTGGTTGTCCCAAAAGCATTTTTTGAAGGGACCGGGCTTTTTCCTTGCATTATTTTTAGTTCTCTAGTGGAACATTAGTTGGCTGTGCACATGTAGGCTCACTTCTGGGATTTTTGTTCTGTTCCATTGATCTTCTTCTCTGTGTCTGTACCAGTACCAGACTGTTTCGATGGCCATTGCTCTGTAGTATGTCTTGAGGCTTGAAATTGTGATTCCTCCAGCTTGATTTTTATTCTTCAGGATAGCTTTGGCTATTTATGATCACTTGTATATCCAGATGAACTTTTATGTCACCTTTTTTTCTGAGAAGGATGTTGTTGGGATTTTTATTGTGATCACATTGAATCTGTATGTGACTCTTGGTAATATAGACATTTTGATTATGTTGATTCTGATGAACTAGGAACATGGTAAATTTTCCCATCTTTTAATGTCTTCTATTCCTTTATAAAAAGGTTTTTAAATTTTCATCATATAGGTCTTCCACATCTTTGATAAGTTGTATTCAAGGTATTTTAAATTCTTGCCTGCTATTTTAAAGGGAACTAACTGTACATGCAAGTTTTTTCTCAGCCATGGAGTTAGTGTATCCTAACACCATTGATTTATGTTCGTTAATTTTGTATCTGCTCCCCTGCCAAATTTTTTATGAGTTCCAATAGTCTCCTAATTGAGTCTTTTGGTTCTCCTTTGTATTGAATCATCTCATTTACGAACAGGGACAATTTTCCTTCCTCTTTTCCAGGTTGATTTCCTTTAATTTCTTTTTCTTGACTAATAGTTTGATCAAGGAATTCCAGTACTATGTTGAATAGCAGTGGTGAAAGTAGACATCCTTGTCTAGTTCCAGATCTTAGTGGAAAATCTTCCAGTCTTTCACCAATCAACATGTAACACTGGCATTGAGTTTTTTGTATATTACTTTGATTTTGTTGTAGAATGTTCCTGCTATACCCATCTTGCTAAGGGGTTTTAGTATGAAGTGATGTTGGATTTTATCAAATACCTTCTATGTATATATTGAGATAAACCTATGGTTTACATTCTTCAGCTTGTTGATGTAAAACAGCCCTGCATGTTAGATAAATACCATCTGTTTTGGGTGAGTGATGTGTCTGATGTATTGTTGGGTTCTGCTGGCTAGTATTTTTTTGGCAGGAGGTGGGGGGAGATTTTTGCATTTGTGTTCATCAGAAATATCGGTTTGTAGTTCTCTTTCTATGTCTCTCTCTTGCTTTAATATTAAGGTGATGTTGGCTTCATAGAAAGACTTTGGAAGAATTGCTTCCCTTTCTATTTTTCAATTTTTTCGAAGATTTCATTTCATTTCATTGGAAGTCAGATATACAGAGAGGAAGAGAGTCAGAGAGGAAGATCTTCTGTCTGATGATTCACTCCCCAGGTGGCCCCAATGGCTGGAGCTGAGCCAATCCATAGCCAGGAGCCTGGAATCTCTTCTGGGTCTCCCATGCAAGGGCAGGGTCCCAAGGCCCTGGGCCATGATCAGCTGCTTTCCCAGGCCATAAGCAGGGAGCTGGATGGCAAGTGGGGCTGCCAGGATTAGAACTGGCACCCATATGGTATCCCTGCACGTGCAAGGCAAGGACTTTAGCCACTAGGCTATCATGCCAGGCCCTCCTTTTTATTTTGAATAGCTTGTGGAGGATTGATGTGAGTTATTCTGAAACATTTGACAGAATTCAGCAGTGAAGCCATCCAATCCTGGGATTTTCTTTGTTGGGAAGAATTTAAGTATTGATTAATTCTCCTTCCTGTTTATACTTCTATTTATATTTTAATTACCTCCTGATTCAATTTTTTTTTTTTGATTAGTTGGGTTAGTGGGGAATCTATTTTGTTGATTTTTTCCAACTAGCTCTTTTACTTATATATTGTTCTTTTGATCTTTTATTCATTTTAAAAGATTTATTTATTGTTGTTGGAAAAGCAGATCAGATTTTTGAAGAGGAGAGGCAAAGAAGTTGTTCCATCTGATGATTCACTTCCTGAATGGCTGCAACAGCTGGAGCTGAGCTGATCTGAAGCTAGGATCTAGGAACTTCTTTCAGGTCTCCTTACATGGGTGCAGGGTCCCAAGGTTTTGGACCATCCTCCACTGCCTTCCCAGACCATAGACAGGGAGCTGGATGGGAAGTGGAGCAGCCTGGACATGAACTGGCACCCATATATGGGATCCTGATGCTTGCAATGTGAGGATTTAGCCATTAAGCCGTTGTGCTGGGAGCTCTTTTGATCTTTATTCAGTTTATTTCCTCTCTTTGATCATTTTTTTTTCTATTGCTCTTGGGATCTTTTGCTGTTGTTTTTCTTGCTCCTTCAGATGTTTGGTGAAGTGCCTTTCTAGTTTCTTGATGTAGGCACTGACAGCAATGGACTTTCCTCTTTGCCCTCTCTACCCTGTCCCACAGCTTTGATATGTTGTGTTGATGCCTTCATTTGTTTCAAGCAATTTTTGAAATTTACTCTGATTTCTTTTATAGCCATTGTTCATTAAGCAGCATGTTGCTCAGTTGCTAAGTATTTGCATATCTTCTGGGTTATTTTGACTTACTGGTCTTAGTTTAACTCCATGATAGTCTGAGAAGATTCATGGTATGATTTTGATTTTTAAAAAATTGTTGAGGCTTGTTTTGTGGCCTTTAATATGAGAAGTATCCTAGTGATGAAAAAATTAGTATGTTCTGAATCTGTAGGATGAAAGATTCTGTGGATATCAATTAAGTGCATTTCTTCTGTTGTCTGGGTGATTGCTGTTATTTCTTTGCTGAGTTTCTATCTCATTGATGTGACTGTTGAAGTTAGTGGAGCATTAAGGTCTTCTACTATTTTTGTATTAGAGTCCATTTCTCCCTTAAAATCCATTAATATTTTCGTTATGTTGCTAAGTTCCTGGCATTTGGTGTGCCTACATTTATTGTTGAGGCTTCTTCTTGCTGATTTGATCCCTCAGGCTTTATGGGTGTCCTTCTTCATCTTTTTAAATTTTTCATGTGAAAGTCTATGTTATCTGACATTTGAATGGCTACACTGGCTCATTTTCCCATCCATTAGCCTGGAATATCCCTTTTCCATAGTTTCATTTTCAGTTTCTGTGCATCTTTGTTGGTGAGATGTGTTTCCTGTAAACAGATAAGTCCTGTTTTTGATTCACTAATCTATATCTTTTGATTGATGCTTTTAAGCTTTTTAAAATCAGTGTTACTTTGATGAGTAGTGATTTGTTCCTGTCATTTTAGCATTGGGTTGCCCACTGTTTGAGTTAGGCTGCTTTTGTAGTTTTATTAAGATGTTCTCCATGTTTGTCTTTGGATTTGGTAGGTGCTAATCCTTTTTCTCTGATTGTAGCACATATTTAAGCATCATTGGTAGAGCAGGTTTGGTAGAGGTGAAGTCTTTTAGTTTTATTTACTTTGGAAATATTTGATTTCATTTTCAAATACAGAGACAAGTGTGCAGTTTGTGTTGTTCTGGATTGACCCAAGTCTTTTAGGACTTGTAATATGTCACTCCAGTCTCATCTAGCCTGTAGAGTTTCCTCTGAGAGGTCAGCTGAAAATCTGATTAGGTTACCTTTATAAGTTAATTGACTTTTTTCCCATGCATATTTAAGTATAGTTTCTTGAAAGCTTGATTATGATGTATCATGGTGAGGATTGCTTCCTGTTGAATTTATTCAGGTTTCTCTGCCCTTCCTGTGTTTGGTTTTCTTTTTCTTTCTCCATGTTGGGGAAGTTTTCATTTATTATTTCATTAAATACATCTTTCAATCCAGCTTTTCCTGTGACTTCAGGAATACTCATACTCCATATGTTTGACTTTTTGATGGTATCACTTAATTATTGTATCATTTTCTTAGCTTTACACAGTTCCTCTTCCAGATTCCTGTTTCAGCATTTTCACATGTGGAATCTTCTAGATCTGAAATTCTTCCCCCTCACTCATTCTGTTATTGAGGGTTTCCATTAAATTTTTTTTAGAGATTTGTTTATTTTTATTTCAAAGTCAGATACGCAGAGCAGAGGTGAAACAGAGAGGAAGATCTTCTATCTGATTATTCACTCCCCAAGTGGCAGCAATGGCCAGAGCTGAGCTGATCTGAAGCCAGGAAACTCGAAACTGGAACCTCTTCCAGGTCTCTCATGCAGGTGCAGGGTTCCAAAGCTTTGGGCTGTCCTTGATTGCTTTCCTAGGCCACAAGCAGAGAGCTGGATGGGAAGCAGGGCTGCCGGGAACCTGTATGGGATCTGGGCGCATGCAAGGCGAGGACTTTTTGCCACTAGGCTATCACCCCATCACCCCATGCCCGCCATTGAATTTTTAATTTAATGTATTGTATTCTTTGTTTTTAATAATTCAGTTTGACTTTATTTCAATGCTGCTATTTTCTGCATAAAGTATTCCTGAAATTCCTTGAACTCCTGTGTGTGCTTCTCATCTTTAAGAAGCTTGTTAAGCATTATTTTTTTCATTTTTAAATTAAAGAAAAAGATTTGTAGCCATTTTTTAAAAATTGTATCCGGCACTTCCTCCATGTCGTCTTCAATTAATTCTGAGTTTGAAATAGTTTTTTGTTTCTTTGCGAGGGAACACATTGGTAACCCCATTTATTTTGGTTGCACCTCTTCTTTTGCCATTGGCCATTGCAACTCAGATTGGCAGATTTTTCTCCTTTGGCTGGTTTCTAAGCTGTGTCATCCATAGCTCTACAGGGTGACTTTAACTAATCCCATTCAGTGCCTGGTTTTCTTTTTGCCTCACTTGCATCATTGATGCCAGCAAATTTCAGTCCTGGGCTTACATGCTACACTTCTGCCCCAACCTCTGGAGCCTGGACTCCCTGGTTACTATTTTCACCTACTGTGATCTCATGTTGTGGCTGCACCATTGTCTGCTCAGCCTTTCTCCCAGTCTCGGTCCAACAGTAGCTGGGATAGGAAGACACAACCTGTGACTTTAAACTAGAGCTCAGGGCTTTTAGCAGGGCCCATCATAATTTTTTTTTTTCTGACTTCTTGCTGCCAGAATCTGCTGGCAATTAGATGGTATGGCAACCTGGACCTGTTTTGGATGGGACTCATGGGACAACATGTTGGTATTATTTTTTGTTTGGTAGGATCAGTGCAATGTGTTTAGCTGGGAGTGAGTTCTCCCCTGGCTTAGGGCATGAACAGCTTGCTGTTCCCTCAAAGGCTTTGCCCAAGAATTCAAAATAGCAGCCAGTGTAGCATTTGTCCTGCTCTGGGCCTTGAAATTTATCCTGTTCTCACACCCATCCAACAGGGATCCACCACTCTGCTTCTGCTCCCAGTGGGATTAAAAAATTAGCAGACTCACAGCTCTATGGCTTGATCTCCTGCGTTTCTGGTGATGTCCCCTTCCCGCCTGCCCACCAGCAGAGCTGTGCTCACTGCAGCATCACTCCGCTGTCTCTACTGCTTCCCTATGTCCATGGACTTCCCCAGTGTCTCTCCATTGCAGACCCCTTACCTGGGATTGTGCCTTCTCTGCTTCTGCTTGGCTAACCCTTCTCTGTCCGTTCATATGTCCTCACCCTCTTTTGCTATCTTGCTTTCTATCCTAAAATTTGGGTTACTATCTTAAATATATATGAAATGTCTTTATGGACTTCAGACAAAATTATTTTAGGCTCGACATATCTTACTCTAAAGTCTATTTTAACTTTTTATTTAAAGAATACTAAAAAAATCAACCCATTGTTTAAAACATGTATTTTTATCTGTGTTACCTTATTTATGATTATAGTAATTTGATTAGTCCATATGATAGCATGTTCTAATTTATTTTAGTTGCTCATAAAGACATTTAAATGAGGAAATAATGATATTATTCATTGTTAAAGATCAATTTTAGGAAGCAGTACAATTTCTAAGTCAAGTGTGTCAACAACAGAGTCAATAGCTGAAGACATAGAAGAACCGTCCTTCAAACGAGAAAGACTGGCTAGTTTTACAGGTAAGGAAAATGCACTTGCTGGTTTCACTAACAGTAAATTAGTTACTTAATTATTGTAATTATTTTGGTAAAAAAAAATATGACAGTGATTTCCAAATACTGAATTATGGTATGGCTACATGAGCATTTCTAGTTTTTAACAAGAGATTTTCCATGATGGTTCTTTTGAACTATCATCCTGATAAATTACTGGTACTGTGTTAGGACTCAATTTCAAACTAAGCAAATAATTCTGAAAATTTTACTATTAATGCCATAATAATATTTATACAGAATATGATAGGCATGCTTAGTAAAAAGTGATCAAATTCTTTGATACAAAAAGACTTAATAATTAACATTACTGACTTTTGAGAGAGAAAAACAGGTTAAGTCTAATCCAGACAGAGGGTAAAACATGGGGTAATACAAAAGTCTGTGAAAGTTAACACACCAAAGATGAAGAAAGAATAATAATCAAAAGCACTAGTAGAAATAGGTATGTATTTGCAGTAAGTGTGTTTTTTCCTGTGTAATGCGGGATTGGTGAAGACAGACATAATATGAGAAGAGTGCTGGCTAGTTTGAACTCTTCTTTTGGTGTTAAGACAACATCTTATGTAGAAATACTAGATAACAAAGCACAACACGAATGAATCTTTAATAGGTTAATCTGCAGATCTAGTGAGAAAAGAAGCAGTCGAAAATCAATCAAAAAAAAAAACTTTCCAAACTTAAAAATAAAAGAATGAAAAAAATAACACTAAAAAAACCCAGTCATTTATTTTTTAAAATATTTATTTTATTTTTTTTATTGAGAAGTCAGATATACATAGAGGAAGATAGACTGAGAGAAAGATCTTCTGTCTGAATTTTCACTCCTCCAGCAGCCCCAATGGCCAGAACTGAGCTGATCCATATCCAAGAGCCTCTTCTAGGTCTCCCTCGCCAGTGCAAGGTCCCACGGCTTTGGGTAGTCCTCGGCTGCTTTCCCAGGTCACAAGCAGGGAGCTGGTTGGGAAGTGGGGCTGCCAAGATTAGAATCACCATCCAAATGGGATCCCGATGCATTCAAGGCAAGGACTTTAACGGCTAGACTACCATGCCAGGCAAGCACAGTCATTTAATATCTATGAGATAACATCAAAAAATATAACATGCATAACTGGAATATTGAGAGTGCATAAAAATATTTGTGGTAACATTTTAAAAAAAAATTCTAAAATTAACTAGACATCAAACCATAGATTGATGAAGCTGAGACAATACCAAACAAGATAACATTAAAATAAAACAAAAATATAAAAATTGACATGTTGTGTTTAAACTATAGATGAAGACAGAATATCAAAGGAATCCAGATGAAAAATACACCTTAGCTATAGAAGAACAATGATATAATCAACTTCTCACTAGAAATCATGTAAGCAACAAAAAAGTGCAACTAAATTATTAAATGTTGGGCTAGTGTTGTAGCACAGTGAACTCATTTGTCAGGTTCAATTAAAATGAAAATGTACTAAAAAATTCATAAAATTACATCAGGCTATGTGTTTAGGCGTGTATATATATATGAAACCAAATAATAGTATATATGAACATATAATGTATAATATGTATGAAGATGAATCATTATATAATTATAATTGAATCATAGAGAAGAAATCAATGAAATTAGTGATATAGTTTGTAAAACTAAAAGCTGATTCATTTAAAAGCTCAAATGATGGTAAATTTCACATAGGCTAACCAAGAAAAAAATGAGAGGAAAAAAGAAAGGAAAGAAGGAAGAAAGAAAAAACAACCTGGAATGGAAAAAATGAAAGAGATGTCATAACTACTATGGATAAAAAGGGTTTATTAGGAAAAATGTGAACCATTCTATATCAACTAATTTTTTAACACACATGAGATAGACCAATTCCTTGAGAGGCACAAACTATCAATATTCATCTCAGAAGAAATAGATAATCTGATTGCTCTATTTTAAGAAGTTGAATAGTAGCTTAAAACTTTGCAAAACAGAACCCCCCAAAAAAGATAAAACAGGGCCAGATATTTTCACAGATTAACTCTACCAGATAAAAAGAATTTTTTTTTGTAGTTAAATAGGTGAATGGGAATAGTTTTCAGCTAATTTTTTGTTCAATAGCAAAATGATGAATGCTTTCTGTAAGATTCAAAGCAAAGGAGAAAGTATTCTTTCTCATCATTTGTATTCAGCATTCTATGGAAGTTCTTATTAAATGAGAAGTCAAAAGGTAAAAGAATAGAATGTCTCATGTTGCACTCTTCCTCACAAAAATGTTCACTAGCAACTATGCACAAATGAGAAGATCTCTTTGAAAACTGTGACTCTTGGGAATAAGTCCGACTTCCAGAGAGTCTGCAGCGTGAATGAAATCTGAATGAGAAGGTTAAGAGGAAGCTCTCTGTGCTAACTTTTATTATCATAATAAATTATCTGAAGCATGCTACTTTAAAAAGAAAGGGGTTTTTTTAGTTGGTTTTTCTGAAGGCACAGAGTTTAGGAGCCTCATCTGATAGCAGCGTTTATACTGTAATGGTCCTGAGGTGGCATAGCGCATCACATGTCTAGAGAAGAACTTGATACACTCCTTTACCTTGTAAATTTCCTAGGCTCAGGTGTTTTGTTATAACAGTGCAAAACAGACTATGAGTATCATAGTATCATCCTAAACTGTAGAATAGCTTAAGTGTCCATAAGCATATGGGTGGATAAAGAACTTGTGATATTTGCATAATAAAATACTATTCATTCCCTGAAAAGGACATTAAGTTGTTTGTGATGAAATGGATAAAACTGGAGAATTCTATAAAATGAAGACAGGCACAGAAATACAAGTCCTGCGTATTCTTACTTCAGGTGTCAAAGAAAAGAATGGTAGTGCAGAAGGTTGAGGTTGGGAAGAAAGGGCTGCAGATAATATTCAAGAGTTACAAAAATCTTAGGGAGAATATTTTTGATACCTGTTGCATAGTGTGAATGTGGTTAATCATAGAATGATAGCTAAGAGAGTAGCTTTCAAATATTTTCGTCATAGAAATATTAAGCATTGAAGGTTATGAAAGTGCTAAGTAGCCTGATTGTTCTACATTATACTCATAAATTATAACATCACATTTTATCCCATAAATACACATAATATAGTCAGTTTATAGTAAGACTGTGCATTCATATGAAATACATGCTCTTTTAAAACATTTTTTCAAAATACTTAAATATAAATATGTTAAAAGGATATAAAATATCACACAGGCATAATGAAAGTGATTTTATATGAAAATTTATATATGGGCCCAGAACAATGGCTCAGTGGCTAAATTCTCACTTTGCTAAGTGCTAGGATCCCATATGGATACCAGTTCATGTTCTGGCTCCCACATGGATCTCCCACATGGGTGCAGGATCCCAAGGCTTTGGGCCATCTTCGATTGCTTTCCCAGGCCACAAGCAGGGAGCTGGGTGGGAAGTGGGGCTGCTAGGATTAGAACCAGTGCCCATATAGGATCCTGGCATGTTCAAGGCGAGAACTTTATCCACCAGGCCCGAACAAACTAATTTTATAAATTTACTGAAAAGCAAAGGATCTGGAAAAACCAATGCAATTCTGAAAAAAGAAAAAGATGATTTGCATTAGCTCATTTCAGAAATAAGTATAACATTACTGTGATTTAGTATTGGTAAAAGAGTAGACATTGAGCAATAAAACAGAAAAGAGAGACTAAAAGTAGATGCAGTAATATAACCAATTCATGAAATACACAAAGGCACTTCAGTGGGGAAAAAAATTTCAGTTCAACAAACTGTGATGGGAAATGGTGAAAAAAATTTTGCCTAGACAGGGACTTTACATCCTACCTAAAATGGATAACAGAACTGAATGTAATATGTGAAATGACAGCACTTCTGAAAACAAAAGTATATGCATTTTTGACTTTGTTGATGAGGTTTTTAAGTAATATCCTGAAAGAAAAAAAAATGATAGACTAGGCCTGATTAAAATTAAGAATTTTTTTCTAAAAACAGCAGGGTTATGTGAATGAGAATACAAGATACAGTGGAAGAAAATATTTGCAAATCACTTATGATAAGAGAATGCTAGAATTTGTAAAAAATGTCTGTTTTATTTGTTTATGGGTCAGAGTGCGAGTTCTCAATGACTCACTCTCCAAATTGTGAATAATGGACTTAACCCTTAAATTCAACAGACTAATAGCAAGGAAAAGGGAATGAAAGATTGAAATTGGCATGTCACCAGAAATGATATGCAGATAGCAAATAATGATATGAAAAGTTTCTCACTATTGGTTGTCCTTTGGAAGCACAAAATACACCAGCAAAGAGGTACTGCTACATAATGACTAGAATCCAGAAAACTGATAACAAAAATTACTAGTAAGAATATGAAGCAATTGGGGTTATCGTTCATTTCTTATGACAATATACAATGGTACAATAACTTGGAAAATAACTTGGCAATTTTTTATAAAATTGAATGTAGTCTTACATATGATCTCAACAGTTACACTCATTGGTATTTGTGCAAATGAGTTGAAAACATGGTCACACAAAAATGTGCCCTTAAAGTTTTCTAGCAGCTTAGTCATAAATGCAGGAACTAGAAGCAATGAAGATAACTTTATAAGTGAAGATATGAATGATAAATTATTTGCACAGCTATATAATAGAATCTTATTAATGATAAATAAGTGAGCTATGTATCTTTGTAACAACGTGGATGAAACTTGAACACTCATTGCTAAATCAAATAAGCCAACTTGAAAAGAATGTATACTTTATGATTCCATTTACATGACATCCTAGAAAAGGTGAAATGTCAACATCATTAGAAGGGGAACCTTAACACCTCTTTCTGTGAGAGCTTTTCATTTTGACTTTCTTCTAGAGAGTGTAGCGGTTAAAGTGGAGAGAGGAGGAATTTAAAAGCAGAGGAACCCTGCAGATGCTACCTCAGCCGAGTGGTGAAGGTCATACACTTGATGTGATGATAAATGCTTGTTAGCTCGGCAGTCTTTCTCCTAGAAAGCTAAAACCATTGTCAAACATCAGACAAACTCAAACTAAAAGGCTCTCAAAATACCTAGGCAAGTAGTCCAGAAAATTAGCAGAGTTTGAGAAATTGTCACGGTCTAACATGATGACTAGATGTAACGTGGCAGCTTAGAAGGGGTTCTGGGACAGAAAGATGCTAAAAACTAAGGAAAAAGTTAAAATAAAATACAGAGTTTAAATGCTATCAATGAATGCAGGCATATAAAAACTCTGATTTTCTTGAAGCCCTCGGTACACCAAAAACTATCCCATAATTATAACTTTATTAAATGTTAATTAAAAGTCTAGATATAAGTCAAAAAAGTTTACATTAATAAACTACATGAACAATGTTGATGTATACTAAAGTTTGAAAGACTTTGCTTGACTGCGTAACCCCAAGGAGGATTATGCTTAGAGAAGCTTTTGGTTTTAACCGCAAAGTAAGAACCAAGCAGCTGTTCAGTTGGAACATAGTTTTTGAATGGTCTCAGCAAATAAATGAATATGTAATATGTAGATGCCTTTTAAAAAACTCATCAAGAATGAGGTCAGTTCAAAAAGCTCATCAACAATATGATGAAGCAGTAAATTTATCTTGGTGCAAAAAATACCAAATCCATGTATGAATACATTTTCATGAACACTTTGAAGATACTGTATATGTAATCACTCTCATATTTGTGTATATGCTTATATATATAAAGATATGCAGTTTGTATAAAATCCATTGGAGTATGGATGAAAATAAACTGCTTTTTAACTCAATTGTACTGCAGCATAACACACTGTAACGTGTAAGAGGAAGTCTTCCTAGGTGGCTGCCTATTTAGGTCTCTGATAGTAACCATACAACAGCATCCCATTCCTAAATCCAGTTCTGAATTAATTGAAAACTATGATGACTAGATATGATAGCCTGAGGTCAAAACATCATATTAGCAATGAAAATCTTCTGTTTAAACTCTCTAAATGACAGAATCACCCACCCAGTCATTAAAGATTCTAGACCATCTCTAATGTTTCCCTTTCTCTACCCTTTCAAGGGACTTGATGAGTTGGATGTGTAGAGCAGCTAGGAATGTCAGGCTGGGTTGGAGCTCCCTCTTCCTAGAAGCACCACTGGGACTGAAGAAAATTGTATTTCCTCTTTCACTGTCAGTAAAGCGTGGCTGGCAGGGCAGATTGATGTATTTCTGATTCTGTTTTAGGTGGAGTCTGAGGTATAGATAAGATCTGCAGTAAAACTTGCATACTGCTAGGAAATCTAATCAGGGAAATAGATTGTACTGCTACAAAGTAGTTTGAAATGGTTTTGCAATATGTCTCAAATTTAAATTGCATTCAGGAAACAGAGATACAGACAAAGACCTGTTTGCTAATGTAGTGCTTTGTCTACCATTGAGAAGGATGACTAGGGTCTGGTGTTAGGGCACATTGGGTCAGGGCACATTGCTTGGAACTCCAACATCTGTCATGGTGCCAGTTCAGGTCCCAGCTCATCTGCATCTGGTCTGACTTCTGGAAAGGCAGCAGATGATGGCTCAAGTACTCGGGCCCGTTTCAACCCAAATGTGAGACCAGGGTGGAGTTTCTGGCGCCTGGCTTCGGCCTGACCCAGAAAGCAGGTATTGCAGCCATTTGGAGAGTGAATCAGAAGATAGAGTATCTCTCCCTCTGTCTCCGTCATTCTGCCTTTCAAGTAGATAAAACAAATTTTAAGAAAGAGCAGAAGATTGACTTTGCTGTGGCTTTCCCCAACCTTGATAGATAACTTTTACATATATGCTGTGCCCAAAGTAAAATTATTTTTATAATTAGCATATCTGTGTCACTGTGTTACTTTGAGGTACATAAAGCTAAATCATAAATGAAGAAAGTTCAGATATCAGAATCATGAATTTTTTGTCTCAGAACTGCCAATATTCTTGTTTGATGCTAGACTTCTCACATAATCTGATTCTCATTTTCATTATAATAAAAATATCCAGACTAAATGTGCCTCCCATTGTGTTCATGTGGATAATTTTAAGTGTCCTGTTTATCATAGCCACATTTCCTTGTACAAATTAAAACTTTCTCTTGGGCCCAGCGTGATGGCCTAGTGGCTCAAGTCCTTGCCTTGTACATGCCGGCATCCCATATAGGTCCCAGTTCTAATCCCAGCAGCCCCGCTTCCCATCTAGCTCCCTGCTTGTAGCCTGGGAAAGCAGTCGAGAATGGCCCAAAGCTTTGCGACCCTGCACCCAAGTGGGAGACCTGGAAGAGCTCATGGCTCCTGGCTTTGGATCGGCGCAGCACCAGCCATTGCTGTCACTTGGGAAGTGACTCATCAGATAGAAGATCCTCCTTTCTGTATATCTGACTTTCCAATAAAAATAAAATAAATCTTTAAAAAAAGAAGGAAGAAGCAAGCCTGCATTGCTTTAAAAAAAATTGTCTCTTATTTGACCAAATAATGAAAATTGATGATTACTCTTAAAGAATCGCCTATGACTATAAGTTAACAATTGAAAATTTTCCATTTCCCAGTCTTGTCTATCTGTATGTTATTTTATAGTGTTACAAACATAGTATGGAATTTTTCTTCTGTACCATTCTGTCATTTAACATTTTATCTAAACAGTTCATGTTTTATCTTGTTTAATTATTACATTCACATTCATAGCTAAGTATTTTATTTAGCCTTCACAAATAGTGATTGGTTAGGAACTTAGTAGGTTTTGTTTTCGGTTTTAAGGAAATGTTCTCAGGCTATGGACCTTCTTAAGACAGGACAGACCCCTCATGTCTAGAAATGTTATATTCTTTAAGATTTTCTTTCTTCTTTTAAGAAAATTATTCATTTTTGTTTGAAAGGCAGATTCTACTGAGGGAGAGGGAGAGACAGAGATCTTCTACTCACTGGTACATTCTCCAAATGACTGCAATGTCCAGAACTGATCCAATATGAAGCCAGGAGCCAGGAGCTTCCTCCAGAAGCAGGGACCCAAACATTTCAGGCATGCTTTGCTGATTTCCTGGGCCATAAGTAAAGGCCTGGGTTGGAAGTGGAGTAGCTAGGACACAAACCAACACTCATGTAGGATGCTGGTGCTACGCACAGAGGATTAGTTTGTGATACCGTTGTGCTGGTCCCAACAACCTTATTTTCTTAAACCTTCTCAACTTTGCCTTCACATTCTCCCTGAGTAATGCTGTCATTTGCCTCAGTCTCCCTGTAAATGTGTGGAAGAGTTATAAAGGGGATATTCTAGAAAATTTGGCGGTAGTTATGAGACTGTGGTAGACTAGACATGCAGGAAAAACTTCAATTATGGGCTTTCATATCCATGATGTAATCTGTTCCTTAACCATATAAAGCCACCTGCAATGTGTGATACATCATAGTAGTTTGGTTTCTTGGAAAAATGCAAATTTTAAAATAACAGTTAGTACATGATTTTAATTAAATCGTTTTTAGATTTACGAGTTATGAGGGCAGTGCATGAAACGGTTATAACAAAAGAAGACCTTGAGAAAAATGTAGATATAATACTCACCGAGACAGAAACACTGAAATTGTTTGACCTTCCAACAGTCGTGATCTCGGTAGACTCTGACGAAGCGGAGGAAGTGAGGTATGTACGGTTCAACTGTTCACACTGTGTGTGTGATTCAGATTCTTTTTCCTTCTTTCTTTCTTTCTTTTTTTATTGATTACATTGCATTATGTGACACAGTTTTATAGGCACTGGAATTCCCCTCTCCCCTCCCCTAACCCCCCTCACGGTGGATTCTTCCACCTTGTTGCATTACCACAGTTCAAATTCAGTTGAGATTCTTTCCTTGCAAGCATCTACAAAGCACAGAGTCCAGCATCTTATTGTCCAGATAAGTTCAACAGTTTCTTGGGGAGACCATCTCTGGTCTGAAGGTACAGCCGACAGAGTATCATCCCAATCAATTAAAAGCCCCGGCATTACATCAGTAACAATTTATAACATAATGGAATTAGTTGACGTGGTATTGTGTAACCAGCATGTTAAAAGAGAGGGAGAGAGAGAGAGAAAAAAAGAGTGCAAGTTCTGAACCACATCCTATCACTTCTACATTGACATTACAATTATTAGTTTATATACAGCTGGGTTCTGTACACCTTAAAATGGCTATAGATTACTATTCAGCTGGCTCATGTCTATTTTAATTTTAGTATTTAGCAGTTAATAGCGTTGAAGCATGATTTTACAGAACCTGGATGTTTTTCGGGTAGTCTAACTCTATAACAAGACATATGTCAACAGTTTAGTTGAACAGTTTTAGGAGGGATGTGCAGAGAAATCTTCAATACCCCAGTGAGGAGTAACTAATCTTTGTGTCGCACCCAGTGAGTTATAAGTGCATCCTCACCGCCCGTTTCCTGTTTCTGAGCTTTCCTTGCTGTTCTCTAGCTATTCTAGTTTTTTTTTGTTTATTTGTTAGTTAGTTTTGTTTATTTGTTAGTTAGTTGTTTATTTGTTAGTTAGTCCTGTTCCTTCCTTCAGTGAACGATCCTGACAGAGTCCTAGATATGCACAGAGCATGTGTACACCCTGTGAGATTATATGTCAATTTGTAATTGTACCCTGTGAAATTATATTGAGAATGTTTATGTTACATGTAAATTTGGGGGCGGGGAGGAGAGCCCACAGCTCTATTGCATTCTTTAGTAAGTAGGTGAATGTTAAGGGAGAAAGGGGAGACATTGATCAACAAGTAGAATGTGTTATACTTGGACAGAAGGAGTATGTTGTTGGCACCATGGGGCGACTCTAGTTACTAATAACATACGTTTCGAGATAACTAGTAAAAGGATTTTTTGAATGTTGTGAGCATAAAGAAATGATAAATGGTTGAAGTAGTGTATATGCCACTTACCCAGTTTTAATCATTACAAAATGTATGTGTGTATCAAAGAACCACATTGTACTCCTAAATCTAAATGTTTACTATTTTTCAATTAAAAATAAATTTTAAATTATTGTGATGACCTTCTAAATCAAAAGCAGGCTTTCCTCTTCCTCTGCTTTCATAGGCCATAAGCAGGGAGCTGAGTGGGAAGTGGAGCAGCCAGGACATAAACCAGTGCCCATATGGCATGCTGTAAGGTGGAGGATTAGCCAGTTGAGCTGTTGTGCGGGCTTTCAGACTTCTTTGTCAACCTTGATTATTTTATGCATATAAGTTTTTTTCAGTTTTAAAAGAAAGCACTGACATTTTTATATTTTACATTTCAAAAGGTAAAAATATACAAAAATAAATACATTTGCAATATTAGAGCAGACTTTAGCTTTCTATATTAATGAACATAAATGTATTATTAGCTCTTGCTTCATGTATTTTGACACTGTTGTTACAGGACTACATAGTAAGAATTACTATATCTTCTTTAGTGATTGACACCTTTATCATTTGTAATACCCCTCTTGTCCCTGGTGATTTCTCTAAGGCCTTTTTTGTGTGAAATTTGTAAAAAGAATACTGTTATTTATTTATTTAAAAGGTAGAGTAAGGATCGGGGAGGGACAAAGAGATGTCAAGATCTTCCATCCACTGAGTCATTCCCCAAGCAACAGTTTGAGCTGGACCAGTCTGAAACCAGGATCAGGAACTCCATCTGGACCTCCCACACAGGTGCAAGGAACACAAATACTTGAGTGACCATCATCCCTGACATCATCAGGGACCTGGAGTCAGGAGTGGAGCTGATCACTGCATCCGGACATTTGCATCTTAACTACTAAGCTAACATCAACCTCTGATAACTTTTTTTCTTAATGTCTCATTTGTTTAAACACTTAAATGTATGTTATATTGCATATGTTATAATAGAATTATCCATATTCAGGGCCAGCCATAGCAAGCTAATACTCCACCCTGAGAAGTCAGTATCCCAGATGGGTGTTGATTTATATCCAGGTGGATCCTCTTTTGATTCAGTTCTCTGCTTGTGGCCTAAGAAAGCAGTATAGGCTAGCCCAAGTCCTTGAGTTCTTGCACCCATGTGGGAGACCTGGAAGAAGTTCTTGGTTCTTGGCTACAGATCAGCTCAGTTCAGGCCACTGTGGCCATTTGGGGGAGTGAAACAGGAATGGAAGACCTTCTCTCTATATCTGCCCTTCGTTCTTTGTAAAATCTGCCTTTCAAATAAAGATAAATAAATCTTAAAAAAAAAAAAAAAAAAAAGATCCATGGCCTCAAGGTGTAGATCCCGTGCTTGGCGTTTCAGTTTTTGAAGTAGCTTCATATACTGAGTCGGAGTTCCAGGAGTACAGAATAATAAGCATAAGGTAAGAACTTAAGCAAAGAATGAGAAAAGACTACAGAATTATAGAAAGGCAGAAATTCCTTATTCTGTAGAAATAGGAAAAAATTAAAAAGAAATGCATGGGAATAAATTCACTCCACTAGTGAATTGTGCTGACATCCAGAATACAATATTAAAAAACATTTAAAAAAAGGTTTATTTTCCTTGAAAGTTAGTATTGCAGAGGGAAAGAGAGAGAATCTTCCCTCAACTCTTTCACTTCCCAAATGGCTACAATGGCCAGCGTTGAGCCCACTGAAGCTGGTAGCCAGGAGTTTCTTTGGGATCTCCCATGTGGGTTCAGGATCCTAAGGCTTTGGGTCATTCTCCACTGCTTTGCCAGGCCATAAGGGAACTGGATCATGCTGTAACCAGGACATGAACCCATATGAGATGCCAGGGGTACAGGTGAAGTTTTTGCTTGCTGTGCCATCACACCTAAAAGGACAATTTTAAAACCAGGAGAAAAAATATAGAAAACAAAATCATCTACAGATAAACTGACAACATTATTAGGGATAAAGTAATTTCACAATGATTAAAAAGGTATAATAATTTTAGAAGTGAACATTACCAATAAAATACAAAAATATGACACAAAATGTATTCTAAGTACCTTGTTAAAATAGAAGATTTAATGACACTTTTATTATTAATAGGTAAGTCAGGCAACAAATTAATAACAATATTGGGAGTTTAAACAAAAATTAATGGTTATGAATAAGTCTTTGCACTCAATCACTAGAACATATTCTGCCCAAACACATATGGAGTATTATAAAAATCTTCTGTGTGCAAAGCCATTAGGCAGGGTCACAAAAATCTCAAATGAAATCATACTGAATTCTCTAGTAACATACAGTGAACTTAAGCATTAGTAACGGAAATCTCTGCAAAGTGCACTATACTTTCACATATCCATTTGGATGATAAAAAAAATAAATTCATCAAGTATCAGAGAAGAAATAATAATGGAAATTTTAGAACTTTTTAGTGAAACAATTAAAAATAATTATGACACAAAAGTGGTACTGTAAAATAATTTATAGCTTTGAATGCCTATGTCAAGGTTAATAAAACCTGTGGAACCAGTGCTAGCATTCTGTTGATAAGCACTGAACAACAATTTAACTAAATTATTTGAAAATCATTCAACATTGTTTTTTTCTCAAAACTTTTTCTTTAGCTTTCTGTTTCCTTTTCGATGTAATCCCCATTAACAAAGTAATTGAAAGGAAAAGAATATTGTAAAATGTGGCAGTGTGGTAATTTATTAATTAGTGGGGTGTATTTTGTTTTTACAGGAATAAAAACAAGAATTATGAAATGCTTTGTAGGAATAGATTAGGCAATGACTTATATGTTGAAAGGATGATGCAGACTTTCAATGGAGCACCAAAGAATAAAGACGTTCAATGCGATAGAATTGTCATGGAAGACAAAGGTAATTTATGTTATTCTGCTTGATAAGCTACCATATTTTATATTTGTTCTTAGAGTCTGTTAGTTACATTAAAATAAAGAAAAATGGAAAATCTGTTATTAAAGTCTTTTCAGATTATACCTGAAACACTGACATTGAGTACTTGTTTTGTTACTGTTTTCTTTGGACAAATTCAGAATTCTTTGTTTTCAAGATTTATTTATTTATTTATTTATGGAAAGGCAGATTTACAGAAAAAAGGAGATACAGAGAAAAATATCTTCCTTCCACTGGGTCTCTCGCCAGATGGCTGCAATGGCCAGAGCTGAGACAATCTGAAGCCAGGAGCCAGGGATTTGTTATAGGTCTCCTGCATCAGTGCAAGGTCCCAAGGCTTTGGGTAATGCTCTACTGCTTTCTCAGGCCATAAGCAGGGAGCTGGATGGGAAGTGGAGCAGCCAGGACAGGAACCAACACCTATATGGGATCCTGGTGAATGCAACTGGAGGATTGCCCAAGTGTCTGGAGCCGTAACTACTCACATATGAAAACAAGATGAAACTCCTGGCTCTTGGCTTCAGCCTTACTCTGCCCTTTCAGCCTTACTCAGCCATTTCAGCCTTTTGAGAAGACACTCCAGATGAAGATACCTCTTCTTTCTATGTCTGTCTACCTGAATTTTTCTCTCTGTAACTCTACCTTATGAATAAACAAATGCAATTTTATTTATCTTATAGGATATTTATTTATCTTTAGAATAGAATCTGTGATTTGCCCAAAAAGTATATTCTTTCCGTATAACAGATAAATTGGCAGTTCTACTTGATAAAAATGGAGTCATATTCTTGCAAATAAACAGATCTTCAGAATACAACATGTTATCTGCTAGCTATAAGTAAAGGAATATAAGCATCCTGTTATAGCGTGATTGTCCAAATCATGACAGACTTAGGAGATTATGCTGCACCGCTTGGAGCTGAGGGCGAGTAAGTGTGGGTTCAGAAAACGCGGACAGGATAATCTGGAATTTTTCCTCAAACCCTAAAGCAGTTGTATGTGCTGGAGTACAGTGACGAGGGATCTCTAGAGCTGTCCCATAATTTATTTCTTTGATTTCATTTAACTTCATAAGCAATAAAAGACTCTTAGATTTTGTTATCATTGGTTATGTATGAAGCTAAAGTATTGAAATCTGATTTAAAATAATTCGCACCTTTGTTTCTCTCTCTTTAGGCATAATGTCCACTGCCTGGGATTTGTATGATTCTTACAATGCCCTGGAACGTTCAGCTTCATCAGTAAAACACCCTGCCATGGAATCAACTAGCAAAGCAAGTGTCCATTCTAAAGAACGGGACCAAAAATTGGGGAATACAATGGAAAAAAGTAAGATTATACTTATTTCAGGTTCTTTAAAACTAGGTTTTAATATGAGATTTCAGATTTTTTTTTGGAGATTACAATATTTCATTTCTGATGGGACAGGAAAATGACAGCTTTTACTCAAAAAAAAAAAAAAAAAGAAAAAGGCTGCTACTCTTTCACGCTGTCATGGACTCTCTGAACTGAAAAATTCTATTTCTTTGATGCCTGTCAAGAGTGTTCAAAGATTTTCCTGTGTCTAGTGCTTCTTTCCATGCTCTTAAAGCTCTGTTATTTTCCATGATACAGTTTAATCTAGAGGATCTATTTAATGGAGCCAAGTATGCCATGAAATGGACATACACTGCAGTAAACTGTTAAATATATCTTGGCAATAGAACAATAGAATGCTAGACTTCCTACCATTCTCTATATCTACGTCAGGATACACTTAAATAGTAGGATGAGGAACTTGTGACTGTTGTTGAGGGACTGAATTATTGTTACCGTTATAGGGGAACACAGCATGGGAGAGTGGGATGAAAGGCAAAGGAGAACTCCCTAAACCTAAGGAACTGCATCATGAAATATAAAGAATTTTTAAAATCCGCAGCTGTTAGGATTACCCCTCTTTCCTTCCATTTCTCCTTCCCACTTTCCTTCACCTCTCCCCCATATTATTACAGCAGTATGATCTTTTACTCTTAATATTTCTCCCTGCAAATTATATTAACTTCAAAGAAAAGGGCTGAGTGTTACTAGCTACAGTTTTCACAGAAAAATGAAGGTATATTAGCAACACTGATTCTTAATTGGGATTTTATCTTCACAAAGGACATTTAACAATGTCTAATGATGTTTTTGGTTGTTATGACTGTGAGCAACTTACATGCTGCTAGTTTTTTCAAAACTCAAGTCAGTTCCCACAACAAAGAATTAACCAAACCAAAATGCCAGCACTACCAATGTTAGGAAACTCAGCACTGCAACTTGCTTTTATTATAGGTTTTAAGATAAAGTATTATAGATTAAATAACACAAAATTATAGCTTTCCGGAAGTTTAAGTTTTACTTTTGAATACTTTATCTAATTTTATTCTCCCTATTCTGAAGTTTTTGAACTTTTCCATTATAAATTACTACACTTAAGGATTAGTCCTTATTTCAACATAACTATAACCTGGTGAGTTTTTGTGAAACTTTGGCAAATTTCCATAACTGAAACTGAATCACTTTAACTGATTTTGACTGAAAACCCCTATTTAAACATTGAGTAAATCAGTAAATATTTTGATATATGAAATTTAAAAAGACATGATTATTTACAGAAAATTGTCACTCAAAATTGACTATATTTCCTTTGGAGATTATAGGTCCACAGACCTTCTAAGTTGTCTTTTTTATGTCATTTAATACTCTTTAGTTTAGTATTATATCCAGTCAAAGGCATAGATAATAACAAATTTAGGAAGCAAGAGAAAATAAAACTGCAAATAGGGCTAAGGGTTTCTAGATTGTAAAACAGTGCCTACCCTTTTAAAAAACGACCAAGTTGTCTTCCAACACATCTATATGATGTTTTATATCTTGGAGAACTATTGACTTATTTTTTTTAAAACCTACTTTCTCGGGCCCAGCACGATGGCCTATCAGCTAAAGCCCATACCGTGAATGCACCCAGATCCCATATGGGCGCCGGTTCTAATCCTGGCAACCCCACTTCCCATCCAGCTCCCTGCTTATGGCCTGGGAAAGCAGTTGAGGACAGCCCAAAGCTTTGGGATCCTGCACCCGTGTGAGAGACCTGGAGGAAGTTCCTGGCTCCTGGCTTCAGATAGCCGTAGCACTGTTCATTGTGGTCACTTGGGGAGTGAATCATTGGACGGAAGACATTTCTCTCTGTCTCTCTGCCTCTCTGTATATCTGACTTTCCAATAAAAATAAATAAATCTTAAAAAAAAAAACCCTACTTTCTCTTTAGGTGAGTTTTAGTAGTCATTTTTAGTGAGTTCAAGTAGCTGCTTATGTGAGTATATTTCAACAAATTCATCTCTTATAACATTTGCGAACACAAAGTTGTCCACAATATTTCCTTATTCTTTCAGAAGGATGGAATCAGTAGTAGCAATACTTCTATTCCTCACATGCCTTCTTATGTCCTTTTCTTCTTGCTTGATTTCCATTATAGATGCAGATAGAAGGAGGGGAGGCTGTAGGGAAAGAGTGCGTGAGAAGAAGTCATCTGATTTATTCTACATATGCCTGCAATAACTGGGCTAGAGTTAGGAGCTAATCCATGCTTCGCTGCAGATGGCAGGATCTCAAATATTTTGGTTGTCATCTAGCGCTTCCCAGGGTAGGCAGTAAGCAAAGTGTCTTAGCAAGTAAATTAAACACTAAGACAAATGCCTGCCCCACCCTCCCTCCCTCCCTTCCTTCCTTCCTTCTTCCTTTCTTCTTCCTTCCTTCCCTCCCTCCTTCCCTCCCTCCCTCCCTCCTTCCTTCCCTCCTTCCCTCCCTCCCTCCTTCCTTCCTTCCCTCCCTCCCTCCCTCCTTCCTTCCTTCCTTCCCTCCCTCCCTCCTTCCTTCCTCTTTCTTCCTTTGTTTCTCTCACTCTGTCACTAGATGAGACCTCTTGACTTTGTTCTTTTCAGTTTTCAGAACTGTAAGAAACAAATTTCTTTTTAAAATAAATATTCTTTTATAACATAAAATGGAGTAAGATGTATACAAATTACATTGTAAGGTTATCATTGCTTATCTTCTGAAAAAAATTTGTGACAATTTTTAAAAATGACAGTTGTGCCTGTGATGCCAGCATCCCTTTGAGCACCAATTCCAGACTCATTTCATTCCGTTTACAATTCAGTTCCCTTCAAATGTGTCTGAGAAAGCAACAGAGCATGGTGTAAGTGTCTGCACCTCTGCTATCTGCTTTGGAGATATGGCTGAAGCTCCTGTTCCTGCCTTCTGCCTGGCTCTGTCCTGGCCAATATGCCATTTGATGAGTGAGCCAGCACATGGGAGACAGTATAGTTTCTTTCTCTATCTCCATTTCTGGCTGTATCTCTTTCTCTCTCTCTCTTTCTCTCTCTGTATGCTTATCTCTAACGTTGTCTTTCAAATAAATAAATGAAGCAATAAATAAATAAATACATAGATATTTTTGTTCATTTTTAAATTATTATTTTCCATGATATAGCTTGTAAATATAGGATTTCTCTTTCACTCTTACTTTATTACTGCCGCATTTTCACTTCCTATGATTTTCCTTCATACTATTACAGTAGTATAGTCCTGTAGTAAAAATTACAGCTTTAACATTCTGCTATTTAAGTGTATCATGGCATTGTAGATATAGGCAATTGTAGAAAATTAAGTATCATACTGCCAAGGTATAGTTAAGAGTTTCATTGGGAGTCTTTCTTTTTTTTTTTTTTTTTAAGATTTATTTATGTTTATTGGAAAGAAGGAAGAGAGACAGAGAGGAAAGATCCGGTGATTCACTCCCCAAGTGACAGCAATGGCCGGTGCTATGCCGATTCGAAACCAAGATCCTGGACCTTCTTTCTGGGTCTCCCACGCAGGTGCAGGGTCCCAGTGCTCTGGGCCGTCCTCCACTGCTTTCTCAAGCCACAAGCAGGGAACTGGATGGGAAGTGGAGCTGCCAGGATTAAAACCGGCATCCATATGGGATCCGAGCGTGTTCAAGGCGAGGACCTTAACCGCTATGCTATCGCGCCAGATCCAGGAGTCTTTCTTTTTTATTTGGGAGTAGAAATGAACATTGCAATATTATCTTCTCAGGATGCTAGTCTCCATTAAGTAATTCATCTATGAGAGTATATGTATATGTATATACTTGCTTACCCATATATTTATTTGCTTTGAATTTTCATGAATGTTTGCCTTATATCAGAGAAAGTGTATGACAGTCTTTTTTTGGGATGAACTTATTTAACTGAGTGTAATGGTCTCCAATTGGAACCATTGTGTTGCAAAGGGTAGGGTTTCTTCCTTATTAACGGCTAAGCAATATTCCACAGAATAGATATGTCACAGTTTCTTTACCTTTTCCTCTTTCATTGGGCATCTGGATTGTTTCCATGTCTTCATTATTGTGGACTGTGCTGCTTTAAATACAGGGATCCAGGTTGCTTTCTTGTACAGATTTCAAATCAGTGGAGCTCACAAATCTATGGCCTGATTCACCTCCTGCTCTTCCCACCTGTGTGTGGATGGAACTCTGGATGGCCTCAGGGTGTCTGTGGGCTGCACTGCCTCTCTACTGTCTCTGTGCTTCCCCAGGTCCACGAATCCCTGGTGTCCCTGTGCCATTGGCCTGCCACTCTTATTACCTAGGATCACTTCCTCTTGGCTTTTCCTCCACTAATCCACCTCCATCCATTTTATTTCACTCTATTCCACCATCTTGCCTCTGCCAATAAGTACATCTTTTTTGAAGTAGGAATAAAAGAATGTTATCTTTAATTTGTGTGTGAAACATCTATTATTATTTAGATGTGTTATTCTGTCATGTTTGTATTCTATAGATAGTGAAGCTAGTTCTCTAATGGATATAGAAAATGTAATTCTGTCTAAAGTCCGTGAAGATGAAGAAGACCACTCAGAAGCAATATTAAAATCGGACAAGTTTCACCAGGACTTATTTTTTATGGAACGAGTGGTAATGGCAAATATATTTCAGCCAAAACTTGCAGCTTACCGTCAGCTTCCTATTTTGAAAGGTACTCTTAAAAAATAATTATGCTCAGACAAACTCAAATGTTTATTATGTATCTCTAAATGTAATCTAAATAATTGGATATCTCTTTTCAGGGGATGTATTTCTATAAGCTTGGCACTAAACAACCGAATGGCAATGAGTCCAGACTGGGAAGCTTTGATTCAAACCTTCATTAATGCCCATGGTTCTTTTTTCTCCATTGTTCCTACATTTATATAGTTAATCATTTTGACTGTCTCATATTCAATGTCCCTTTTTTCTTTCAATTGATATTGTCCAGATTCTGGTTTTTATTACTGCTCTATAACATGACTACTATGTTCAGGAGATATTTTAAAGAATTTTGAAAATTCTTTAAGACAAGGTGGTTTAAAGGAGAAAACTGGAAGGCATATCTGGGGCAGGGCCAAGGCACCTGCCCACGTGGGAGACCTGAACTAGGCTAAGTAGCATCACATGCTGCCCACTAGTATACATGAAAATTGGGGCTGGGGAGGCCTACCTGGCCAGACTAGGCTGAGGAACCCACTCATGAGTGATATGGCAGGATTGGGCTGCAGCATCAACAGGAATGCAGGAGAACCAGATCTGGGGGCAGATTCTGTAAGGGACGTGTGGGCTTGCCTCTGTGGGACTACAGAACCCTCAGGTATGCCTGGTGAGTTGGGAGGTGGTGATGGGCTGAGCCAGGCTGGATCACAGAAGTCACCTGCGTACAGAACCCATGGGTTTATATAAGAATTGGGGGTGGTCACATGCAGGAGCCAGGTCTGGGAGAAGGCCGGAATGAGCCAGGCTGCAGCACTTGCTGGCATATGGAAAGGCCAGAACTGAAGGCAAACCATGCCAAGCAGAGGCATAGCACTGATGACACATGTGTTTCAGGGTTTAAAGCAGACCTGGTAGGAGGGAATCTACCCTACTAGACCACAGCTTCCTCTGGGGAGCACAGGAGCTGGGAAAGAGAGTGGGCCAGGCAGGCTGCAGCAGTCAGCATTCTTGGTTATTTGGGTTTGGGGCCAGGTTGGGCTGGTCCGGGCCTCAGAACCTATTGGCATGCAAGAGAGCCAGGATAAGGCGTGGGCTGTACCTGGCTGGATAAGACTGCAACACCTACCAGTGAGAGCTGAGACTGCGGGCACACCATGTCAGGCTGAGTCAAAGCACCTGCCAGGACACACAGGATCCATGGCTGGGATGAGCATGGTAAGGGTACTTTAGGGACTCGCCTGCTAGGCTACTGTTCCCGCTGGTGAGTACAAGAGCTATGGGCAAACCAGGATGAGCAAAGCTATAGCACCTATAGACATACATGTGAGCTGGGTCTGGGGACAAACCAGAATGGGCTAGGCTCTAGCCACTGCTGGTACTTTCAAGAGCTAGAATGGGTGTGGGACAGGCTGGCCTAAACTGCAGCACCTGCTGGTTCACATGTGAGCCTGGGGTTAAACCAAGCTAGTCTATGCTGTAGCACCCATTTGTGAGGACCAGAATGGGTGCAACCAGTCAGGCTAGGCCACAATAGTGCTATTGAGTGCCAGTATTGGTGGCTAACCATGTCAGGTTGGGAAACAGCACTGGTGGCACTTGCGAGGTCCAGGACTGGATGCAAGTCTGATTAGGGGGACTTGGGAAATTTCCCTGCTAGACTGCAGCTTCTATTGGTGAGAACAAGGGCCTGGGCAAGAGTGGACTATAGCACCTTCTGGCATATGTGTAGGCTGGATCTGGGGGTGGGCTGGGCTGGGCCAGTCTAGATATAGAACATGCTGGAACAAGTGAGAGCCAGGATGTGGTACAGGCCAGGCTGGGTTGCCTGCCAGTCCACATGAGGGCTGGGGCTGGGAGTGAACCAGATTCGGCTAATGCACTTGTCAGCATACAAGTGGACCATGTCTGGGGAAGGTCAGGCTGAGCTAACCTATAGCAAATGGTTGTGCTAGAGAGCCAGATGATATGTGGGATGGTCCAGGATAGGCCACGGCATATGCCAGCACATGCAAAAACCAGGGTTGGGCACAGGCCTGGTGGTAGATTTGGGGGATATGGCCCAAGGCCTCATGTGGGAGACCTGAAAGAAGATCCGGGCTCTTGTTTGTAATCTGGCTCAGACTTGGTTGTTGCAACCATCTGGGGAGTACAACAGCAGATGGAAGATCTCTTTCTGTGCTTCTTTGTGTGATTTTGACTTTCAAACGAATAAATTGTCAGAAAAAAGTTGTGATTTAGAGTTCTGTAAACATTGTAACTTTTGTAAACTGGTGATATATAAATTCCTTAATGTTATTTAAGAATAAAAATACCATAGGAAATATTTTTATCAACTAAGATTTACATACAGTGAATTACATGTGCTTTTTTAAAAAAGATTCCTTTTTGTTTATTGGAAAGGCAGGTTTATAGAGAGAAGGAGAGAGACAGAGAAAGATCTTCCATCCATTGGTTCAATCCCTAAATGGCCACAGAGGCCAGAGCTGAGCCAATCTGAAACCAGGAACTTCTTCTGGGTCTCCCACACAGATGCAGGGTCCCAAGGCTTTGGCCTATCCACTTCTTTTCCACGCGACAAGCAGGATGCTGGATATGATATAGAGCAGCTGGTACAGGAACCAGCATCTGTATGGGATCCCGGCAGTTGCAAGACGAGGACTTAGCCACTAACATCATGCTGGGCCCTATGAATTTTATTTGGAAAGGCAGATTTTTGCAGAGAGGAGAGACAGAGAGGTCTTCCATGTGCTGGTTCACTCCCTGAATTGCTACAACAGCTGAAACTGAGCTGATCCAAAGCTGGGAGTCAGGAGCTTATTCTCAGCCTCCCATATGGGTGCAGGGGCCCATGGCCTTGGGCCAGACTTTTCTATTTTTCCTGGCATTGGCAGAAATGACCAGGAAAATGGACTGGAAGTGGGTTAGCGGGGACACAAATCAGCACCCATATGGGATGACAGCACATGTAGGTGGAGGATTAGCTTGCTACACCACTGTGCTTACCTTTTTAATGTATTTTTAAAATGTTTTGAAAATGTAAAAATAAACAATATTCTAGTTGATAGAACATACCCAATCTACCCTAAAATTTACCCCTTGCTACTTTCCAAATAAATTTTATTCCACAAACAGGCATTTACCTGATTTCTGTCACCATATATTAACCCTCCCTGTTCTACTACAACATGTAAGTGGTTCGTATAAGAAGATTTTTGGTGAATGGGGCTTCTTACTCTCAGTATTAATGTTTCTGAGATTCATCGAAGTTGAAATGTATATAAATTATTTTCTCCTCTGAATGGTATTCTAGTATGTGTATCATAGTGATTTATTTATCCATTCAGCTGTTGCTGGACATCTGAATTGTTTCAGGCCTACTGCGAATGAAGTTGCTATGGGCATTTTTGTCTCACTCTTTTGATAGACATATGTTTTCATTTCTCTTGTGTGAATAGGAGGAGACTTGGTTGGTCATTGGGTAGATGCATGTGTAGCTTCTTTGGAAAGCATTAAATCCTTTCCCTAAGAGATGTATCATCTTGCATTCCTATAAGCAATGCACAAGCTGCACAGTTGCTCCACATTCTTAATTAACACCTGATGTTGGCAACGTTTTTAATGATTATGTAAGCTTAACTGGTGACTTCAACTGAAGTTGCTGACTAGATGTTGTTTCATTACCTAAGCAAGTCAACATGCATCAATAATTATACACTGGCATTTGATATTTATCTGTTAATCTAGAAAATGCCTTTTTCGGCAGGCCTGTTGCTTAGTTTTGATATTAGTTTAAGTTTTATCTAAAGACCCAAATGTTGAAGGTTTGGTCCCCTAAGTCTTTTGTTAACAGTTAACAGATCAGTCCCAACAGTTAACACATTAAGGGTGGAAATTTCGTTCAGTGATGGTGCCTGCAGTTGACACTTTTGAAAGATACCAGATTAGAATGTTGCAGTGGAATTCCATCTGATAAAATCACAGTTGTTTTATAAGAAAATACACAGAGAAGAGACCAGTGCTCAAACTAAACTTTCTTATTTCATATGTAGATCTCTCAGCTATTGTAGTTTCAGTTTTGAAAGCCTAATTCATACACCTAGCTTATAGGCCCATTAAGGAGAAACAAGTTGCATTCAATTGCCAAGGCCAGCTATATTACTAGTATTGCCTTATCTCAGAATTATATCAAGCCCTATGTCATAATTTATTTCACTGGAATTTTAATTGCTCTTTTTTTCCATGAAAAACCACACTGGTTCATCATACTGATGACATATCCTGATTGTATCTAACAAGTGAAAAGGAGCAACTACTCTACACTTACAGGGATTACTTCTGCATATCAGAGGGTAGAAAAAGAAATATTACTAAAATTCTGTGTTCTTCTACTTCATTGAACTGTTTGGAATGATACTGTTTGGAACCTTTAGCAACCCAGACAGGTATAACAGACAATGATCATTTTGTCTGATTTGCTTTTAGAACCAGAACCTGAACAGCTTAGAGACATTTTAGCAGGGGAAAAGCATGAAGAGGTGGAAGAAGAAGCTAAACAGGAAGAGGAAGAAGAAATTGAAATAAATGCAGGACAGTCAACAATACCAGCCAACTTGGAACGACTTTGGGCTTTTTCCTGTGACTTAACCAAAGGTCTGAATGTGAGCAGCCTTGCTTGGAATAAAATGAATCCAGTAAGTTAATAAATATTTTAAGCATTTAAGGGCAACTGCAAAATTCTAACAGTCAAGGTTGTTTTTCCTCTCAGATGGGGGAGAAGAAATTGGCCTTTAGTTTAAATGTCCCTAAAACAAATTCATGTTTCAAAAACTGGAAAATATGAATAGTTAGAAAATAATGTTTTCCTTCCTTAATGCAAAAATGATACCATTTTTATTTTAGCATATACTTGAAATATGACACTCCATGTCAGATATTGCAAAGTAAAGTAGAAGGTGATGCATGATTGAGTTTTGAAACATTTACCAAATGTTTTAACTTTTGTGTTCTCAGATTAATCATGTTTGAAAGTATGTATTTAATTCAGTGACCTGTAAATATGCTAATTTGTAGATTCCCTAAAATACTCTTATTGCCAATGTTAGCAGATACTTAAACAGTGTTTACTGTATACCAGACACTGTTGTGTTTGCCTGCATTAACACAACCACCCTAGGAAATGTGTATCATTATTTTTGTTCATTGTATTGATGAGGAAGCTGAACACAGAAAGGTTGAATCACTTGCCCAAAGTTCCACAACCACTAAGCAAAAGAGCTAGAAATCAAGCTCAGTACCTTTCTCCAGAGTTCTTGCCTTTTGCTGTACTACCCAAAGTCTTTCTGAGGCAAACAAGATGAGTAGTCAGCTGGGGGACTGTGTATTTGCTTGTATAAAAGAGATAATTTATACAATAATGAAACTTGTCTTCCCCAGGGAATTATCAACTGATTCTGAAAATATTTTCTAATCAGCAATCAAACGATTGTTTGGATAATGGCAATATGTTTGGAATAAATACTTAGTGTATTTTAAAGTGGTTGAAGTTAATTTCTTTAATAATTAGCTTTATTACCTTATTGCCACATCCCATTAGGTGATATGTGTAAACCTAATGGTTTTTCCAATTATTAAAAAATACAAAGTTGGGAGTCAGCATTGTGGCACAGCAAGTTAAGCCACCATGTGCAACACCAGCATCCGTATCAGAGCACTGGCTCTAGCACAGCTACTCAGATGTTGCTCCAGCTCCCTGCTAATTAACCCTGAAAGGCAGCTAAAGATGGTCTAAGTATTGAACCCCTTCTACCTTTTGTAAGACACCAATGAGTTCCTGGCTGTTCTTTCAGCATAGCCCAGATCTGGACCCATCGGGGAGCAAACCAATCAAGAGATGATGGCTCTCTCTTTCTCTCTCCATCTCCCTTTCTGTGCCTTTCAAACAAGTAATCTTCTTAAAAAAATACAGAACTGAAAATATTTTTGTTGAAAGTTAATAATACATTATTTCAATTATGTATATTTCTTTTATTAAAATTCTTTTACTATAGATTTATCTTTAGACAACTATAAATGGAAGCATCTTATAAAAAAGTAGAGCTCAATAAATCAGTGACAGACTATATAATAAAGATACACAAAATATTTGTAGAATTGATATGCTAGCATTTTATAAATTCATAATTACAATTGAAATTAAATCATGTTGCATGAGATAAAATAAAAGCATGTTTCAAAATCAAACTATAATATTTATTAATTCATTCTACAAATATTTATTGGACATTCACTGTGTGCCAGGAATTCTGCAGAGGAATTACAGATTCTGATTACCAAAAGGAGGCTGTATTTAATAAATTCTTTTTTCTATATGCATGTCAATATTCATTTCTTGAAGGAACTAGTGTGTCGTTCAGCTTGGGCTACTGAACAAAGTTGCCCAGGCTATGTAGATTAAACAGATATATGTTTTTACAGTTCTCAAGGCTGAGAATTTCTAGATCAAGATATTGGTTGATTTGGCTCCTGTTAAGAGCTCTCTTCCGACGACTCCCAGCTATGTGCTCACATGGGAGGGAAGGAGGAAAGGATGGGGTTGGGGGAGAGACAGACAGGGAGAGTCAGCTCTTGTGCCTTTTCCTCTTCCTGTAAGGCCTAGAATCATATTGAATTAAGACTCTGCCTTGAAAGCCTCATTTAACCTCAGTACTTCCTTAAATTTCAGTCTTAAAATTCGGTCATAATGGAAATTAGGGCTTCTACATGAATTTGGGGAGTATAAAATTCAGTCCATAGCATTTCTACCTTTATTTTAAGGGGCTTTCTTTGTCACTTGAAATCATTAGACTATCCTCCAAAACCCATAAGATGTAATATGGTGTAATCTTGGGAGATTTCATTAATAGGTAAAAGAACTTGTTAGCAATTTGTTCTTTATAGGTATTTATTTTTCAGTCTGAAAATGAGAAACATGATACTGATTAATTTAATTTACATATAAAAATGAAGGGAGAGAGTAAAGACAGTGTACTGATCATTTTTGCTCATAGCTGAAATGTTCTATCGTTATTTTCAACAGTCTACTAGGTGTCCTGTTACATACGCCATTTTGTATTGTCTAATCTCATTTTAAAGATTTATTTTTATTATTTTTTTATTGGAAAGGCAGATATACAGAGAGGAGAGACAGAGAGGAAGGTCTTCCATCCGATGATTCACTCCCCAAGTGAGCACAACAGCCAATGCTATGCTAATCCGAAGTTAGGAGACTGTTCCGGGTCTCCCACACGGGTGCAGGGTCCCAAAGCTTTGGGCCGTCCTCAACTGCTTTCCCAGGCCACAGGCAGGGAGCTGGAAGGGAAGCGGGGCTGCCGGGATTAGAACTGGTGCCCATATGGGATCCCGGGCGTGCAAGGCGAGGACCTTTACCACTTGCGCCACTGCGCTGGGCCCTCTAATCTCATTTTAAATACGTCTTTCTGGTTCCTAGGATCTTTTGGCTGTCGGCTATGGGCACTTTGGATTTAAGGAACAAAAAAGAGGATTGGCTTGCTGCTGGTCAATAAAGAATCCTATGGTAATCCACCCAGGAAGAAAATGACTTTTAAATGGTTAAATGTTGATAATTTTCATGAAATATGACATAATAATTTTACAAAGTTAAGAAAATTTATGGGGTTTTTTGGTTAGTTTAAATCCATAGCAAATATAATTTGTTCTTTTTAGAAGAGAATAGTGGGAATTCATTCAATAAATATTTATTGAGCAAATACCATATTAGATCTGAATTATTCTTGATATCACAGATGATTATAAAGAAAAATGAATCTTCAAGTGAAAATCATTAGAAAATTGTATATTTATTTTTGTACATTTTTTAAACACGTGAATATCTCTGTATCATTATCTGAACTTCACTCTCCTCAAGAGATATAAAATAGATAATATGATCTTCTTAATGACATACATTTTTCAGAGAACAAATAAGAATCATAATATTTTTCTTGATAGACTGAATTAGTTATTTTACAATTTTATGTTTAGTTTTAATTCAAAACTACAATATGTAGTGGGAAACTTAGAGAATGGCTAAAAGCGCATATAAAACTAAAGTTTTTTTAAATAACCCCAGTGATTCAGAAATCTGTACTTGTATAGCATAAAGGAATTTTAAATGTAGGATTGACATAAGATTCATCACTTAGTAACCTGTCTTCTTACTTCGTAGCTGGTTAGAAAAGGAGGGTTTAGATTAGACCTCATGAGGTTGTAGAACAGAATAACAGAGAATTTGGAGCTTTTGACATCCAGTGTTTAACGGTGGTTAGATAGCCCAGGCATCTGAAACAGAGAGAAAGACAGAAATACATTCTAGACAACTTGTAGCTTATTAATGAATTCCATCCTGCTTAAATATTATTTATTAGAGTATTATAATTACTGTAGCAGACCATGATGTAGTTCTTAAAGATATTGAGTGCTGCATTCTCATGGTTTTGTCAAAGTCAGGGACATAAATAGTTGAGATTTCATTGTCATCTGTGCTGCAAGGCAGAAAGGCAAGAGTAACTGCATGCAGGCTAATTCTTCTCACAGACTTGTTGACACCAGGAGAGTATCAGTTACCAAAATACCTTTTCTTACAAAAGCAAATTAAAAATGATTTATGTATTTCTTTGAATTCAGTGGCCAGAACGTGTTTATCAGAGTTCATCAGGAGTTATGGCTGTGGATTTTTCAATTGGAGCACCCAACCTTTTAGCAGTTGGCTATCACAGTGGTACAATTGCAATTTATAATGTACAGAGCAATAGTAACACTGCTGTTCTGGATAGTAGGTAAGAATCCAACAAACAGATAAACATTATAACACATGCTTTTTCAGGGAGATTTGTTCCATTATTTGATTCTGAGTAAGTATTTGTGTTATGGAGAATAATGCTATTATTTGTGAAACTTTTAATAATTCTTCATATTATCTTTTCAGCTGAGATTCTTATTGTCTTTTCTACCCACTCCATCGAAATTCTTTCCTCAGCCTGGTACTTTATGCTTAATATTACACTGTTGCTTTGGTCTCATCTTTTCCAGGAGAGCTCTTTCATTTCTTCTCTGCATTTTGTATATACTCATAGCACAAATTACACTGTATATACATTTTTTTTCTAAATATGTAAAGCATTTGTACACACTCACACTTTTCTATCTTCTTGAGGAGTATATAAGTTATGTAAGAATAAGGGTTGAATCTTACTTTTGTATCCTAAGTATGTTACATATTACTGGGCATTTAACAGAAATACTGAAAATTTGGCATTGATAATGAGTAAGTTACATGAGAAAACAAAGAGTTAAAGGTTATAGACATTCAAGTTGGGTAAATTTTGAAATAGATCAAATCTCAAGGAGTTTAATATCAGGTAATATATTTGTATCAATGTTTAAACTTAGCTACAATGGAAAATAATTGTTAAATCAGGTCCTTTGAAATTATCTACATAGTTTTAGAAATATAGGTCATTTTGCTTGTTTGTAAAAGAAGGTCCATAAATAATCAAAATATCCATGGTTTTTTAAGTATTCATAAATATTTCATTGAACTGTTTGCGTGAAAAAAATAATCAAGAAAATCAGTGCTGTGACCAGAGAACGGATTAATCTAGTAGGAAAAGCATAATCTAGGAAGTTTGTTTTTAATTTATGGAAGGAGAACAGATTTAATTTATTTATATGTACAATTTTAAGCACATAATAATGCTTCCCCCACTCCTTTATTTTTAAATTTCAATATTTTCAACAATATAATTTCAAGTTACTTTGTAATCTCAGGCTTAATCCTTCCCTAAATAAATAATTCAGCAAACAGAAAGACCCTGCTCCACGGGAGTATAGATAAAAGGCTATAATAACTTAGCAAATCTTAAAATGTCAATTTCATGCATAGATATTACATTTTTTGTATGCTATGTTAGTTACTATGAATTTGAGAAGATATATATCACTTTTTAGGTCTGGCTTATTTCACTAAGCATATTGGTTTTTAGATTCATTCATTTTGTTGAAAAATAAAAGATTTTATTTTTTATGGCTGAGTAGTAGCCCATTGCATATATATATATACTGTATTTTTTTTATCCAGTCATCTGTTGATGGCATCTGGGTTTATTCCATGTCTTAACTATTGTGAACTGTTGCCATAAACATGGAGGTACAAAACTCTTTTATATGCTGCCTTTGTCTCCTTGGGTAAATTTCTGGGAGCAGGATGGCTGGGTAACATGATTGATCAATTTTCTGATTTTTGAGGAATCTCCATACTGTTTTTCTTAGTGGTTGTACAAATTTATCTTCCCACCAAGAGTTTATTATAGTATCCTTTTTTATCCTTACCAGGATGTATGTGATGTTTTAACTGGGATTTATTGAATCTGTAAATTACTTTGGGTTGTATTGACATCTTGATAATATTAATTCTTCCAATCCAAGTCTATAGGAGAGCTTTCCATTTTTTTTTATCTCTTCTTCTGTTTCTTTCCTTAATTTTTTTTTTGGTATTTAATACAGAAATATTTAATACCCTTGGCTAAATATATCTCAAGGCATTTAATTTTTTTATGGAAATCGTGATGGAACTAAGCTTACAAGTTCTTTCTCAACAAGGTTTTGTGTAAACAAATGCTAACCTTAGAAATGATACTTAAAGATTTGATTCACAAAGCAACACAGAAAGATAACCACATCATAAAAGAACTTGAATACAGAACACTTACTAGTAGAAGTACAAACAAGTTCCCAAACAAGCAAGGAATATTTATGGAAAATTGTCTGAACCAAGTCATTACTTACCAAACATAACCTTGAGTGTAAATGGATAAAAGTCTCCAATTAAAAGTAACAGCCTGGCTAAATGGATCAAAAAGAAAGTGGATTTACAAGAAAAGCAATTCCAGCAAAGATTACATACAGACTGAAAGTGAAAGAATGAAAAAAGATCTGTGCAAATAGAGAACAAAAATGAGCAGGAGTTAATCTCCTAATATCAGCAAAATAGACATTAGGACAAAAACTATTAAGACGAAGAAGGGAATTAATGAAAATAAAGAAGACAAAGAAAGGATCAATTCAACAGAAAGATGTAACTTTAGTAAATGTATGTGCACTCAATTGTAGGGTGTCTGAGTATTTAGCAAAAATATGAACAGCTCTAAGGGAAGCATAGATTCCAGTATAGTACTGTTGATGGACTTCAACATCCCACTCTGCTCAGTGGACAAATAAAGTAGTCAAAAATCAACAAACAACTAAAGAGCTAATTTACACTATTGACCAATGTTTCTAATTCATGTCTTCAGAATATTGCATGCTATAGCTGCCAGGTGCGTATCTTTTACATCAGTGCATGGGGCTATCTCCAGGAGGGACCATATTAAGCCTATGAAGCCACAAAACAACTCTCAGAACAAAGAAACAGTTCATACCACAATTAAATAAAGTTGAAAATTAATAGCATAAGAAACTCTAGAAAATTTATAAACACTTGGGGATGAAATAATGTGCTCCTGAATGCACAGTAGATCATAGAAGAAAACAAAAGTGGACTAAAAAATTTTTGGAAATGAATGAAAATGACAACACAACATATCAAAGCTTATGAGATGTTGCACAAGCAATATGAGGACTAGCATTAAGTGCCTACATCAAGAATTTGAAAAGATATAAGTTTCTCAATATAATGCATCTCAAAGGCCTAAAACTCAGACCTAAAATTTGTATTAGGAAAATAACAAAAATTATAGAAAAAAAATTAAAATGATACAAAAGCTCAGTGAAATAAAGAGACTTTTTGGAAAAGTTAAAAAAAAAAAACAATTTGTCCACCTAAACCAAAAATTGGTAGACCCCCCAAAAAAACACCCAAATTAATAAAGTCAAAGAACTGAGAGATGGAAAGGAGGTATTAGAATGACTGTTACTGAAATAAAAAGAATTATCAGGAATTACTACATATAGTTATATGACAACAAATTATCGGTCTAGAAGAAATGGTTAGTTTTCTGGACACATACAACTATCAAAATTGAGGCACAAAGATATACAAAACCTAAATAGACCAAAAACTAAAATGGAGACTGAGTCAGAAATAAAGACCCTACCAACAAAGAAAAGCCTGGAACTGTGTGGTTTCATTTCTGAAGTCTACTAAATTAAAAAATAAATAAATAAAACCAAGTTCAATCCTTAAAAGCTTCAGAATCATCAGGAAAGGAGAGAACTCCCCCCAAATCCTATGAAGCCAAATCATCTAAATTACAAAACCAGAAATAAGAACTACAGATCAACATTCCTGATGCACATAGATGCAATATCCTCACCAAAATTGAATACAATAACACAGCATAATAATCAGCCCACTCAGACCAAGTGGGATTCATCCCAGGGATGTAGGGATGTTTTGACATAAATGCATCAATAAACATGACACATTAACAAAATGAGGAGTGATAACTATATGATTAGTTCAATTGGTTCAGGGAAAGCACTTGATAAAATATAGCATCATTTCATGATAAAAGGAAATTTGACACAGAAGACCAATCAAATCACAATCAATAGAATAAATGACAAACCACAGCCAGGATCATACTAAATGGGGAAAAGCTAGAATCATTTCCACTAAGATCTGTTACACAAAGATCATTTCCACTAACATGAGTAACCTTGTCTGGTTTCTATCATTACAGTTCAGTATAGTTCTGGAAGTCTCTAGCAGAGCCATTAGTCAGGAAAAAGAAATCATAGAGATACAAATTAGAAAGGAAGAAATCAAATTATGCCTGCTTGCAGATAACATGATCCTCTATACAGTAGAACCAAAAGACTCCGTTAACAGACTATTGGAACTCTTCAGAGTTTCACAAATTTGCAGGATGTAAGATTCAATGCACAAACATCAATAAGATTCATATCCTGGAGACTATCAAGATAGTGGTCAATCTGGAAACACAGGAGAAGGGTGAGGCGCAGGAGAAGGAATTATTTATCTGATCAAGATTTGACGAAAAGTTCCTTTGGGGAAAAAACTTGGCAAAGAAGATAACTTATATTTACTGTATTTAAAATGAAGTTAGCGATTCCAGTTTCTTTAACTTAGAATGAATGAATAATAGAAAACAAATGATTTTAGAAAAAAAAATCTGCTCTTGTTTTACTGTTTTGATCCCCAAAAGATAATTATAGACTAGTAAATTTCCCTTTTGTAAAAAATAGAAAAAGCAACAATGACCAGTGAATTACACTGATTGTTCTTATTTTTCAGAGTATTTAAGGTAGGCATACAATTTTGAATGAAATCGTCACTGTACTCATAAATAGGTCATTATGCTTTAGGGAGCTGTCCTTATGTATATTTCAATGTCTCTAACATTCTGTATTTAATATCCGATGATTCTATATATATAGTTCTTGCTTGTTTCAGTGAATCACCTCAGAAACATTTGGGACCTGTATGGCAACTACAGTGGATAGAACAAGATCGAGGAACCACAGGTGATGACAAAAGAGAAATACTGGTGTCAATATCAGCTGATGGGAGAATCTCCAAATGGGTGATACGGAAAGGACTGGACTGCCACGGTAAAAGGACTAAACTGGTGATCTTTCTCTTGTATATATTGAATTTAAAATCTTAAGGGAAACGTGTGAAAGAAGGTAAAAAGATGGTAAAAAGAAACCTAGGTTTGGTCACTGTTTTGTTGGGTATTTTTTTGTAAATGTGGGTTTTATGGTAATTGTCATTTGCAAAAGGTAACAGAAATCAATACTATTTGCAAATGAAACAAATATGTTTCCATTTTTTTTTACATGGTAAGTAGCAAGTGGCACATTTTCTTTTTCTTTAAAGATTTGATGAAATTAAGGCGAACAACTTCTGGCAGCAGCAAGAGAGGAATAGAAAAGGAAAAGAAAGGTGAAGCCTTGATATCGCGACAGGCTCCAGGAATGTGTTTTGCTTTTCATCCCAAGGTAAATCATCAATTCAATATTTACTATTGCATATAAAAATTTCCAAAAATTGGGTTGTATTTCCAAAATACTAGCATTCAAATTCCTGGCTTCTGGCTTCTGTCTGGCTCAAGCCCAAATGTTGGAGCCACTAGGGAATGAAACAGTAGATGAAATATAGCTCATAAGTTCTATATACATACTATGGAGTACTGCTCTGCCTCTAAAAAGAACAAAATGGAACAAAATGGATGCAACTGGAAACCATTTTACATTTAGTGAAATAAAACAGTCTCAAAAAGACAAATACCACATATTTACTGATGTTCAGTAGTTTATAAAGAACACACAAAAATATGCAGGAATGTGGGATAGCATTGTTATTTTAGCTCATGTTTACACTCCAGTGAAAATGTTATCTTCTGGGCCCACATGGTAGCCTAGTGGCTTAAGTCCTTGCCTTGTACACGGCAGGATCCCATATGGGTGCTGGTTCTAATCCCAGCAGTTCTGCTTCCTGTCCAGCTCCCTGCTTGTGGCCTGGGAAAGCAGTCGAAGATGGCCCAAAGCTTCTGGGGCCCTGCACCTGTGTGGGAGTCCTGAGAGAAACTCCGGGCTCCTGATTTTGGATCGGCTCAGCTCTGGCCATTGCGGTCACTTGGGGAGTGAAACATCGGACAGATCTTACTCCTTGTCTCAATTCCTCTCTATATATCTGACTTTCCAATAAAAAGAAATATATCTTTAAAAAAAAGTCTTCTTACATTTTACATCAATTTTATGATTAGCGGAAAATTACGCCTTGGACTAGAAAGGATCTTTGCAGGCCCAGCGCGGTGGCCTAGCAGCTAAAGTCCTCACCTTGAACGTGCCAGGATCCCTTATGGGCACCAGTTCTAGTCCCGGAAGCTCCACTTCCCATCCAGCTCCCTGCTTATGGCCTGGGAAAGTAGGAGAAGAGAAGACAGGCCAAAGCCTTGGGACCTTGCACCCAAGTGGGAGACCTGGAGGAGGTTCCTAGCTCCTGACTTTGGATTGGCTCAGCACTGGCCGTTGTACTCACTTGGGGAGTGAATCATCGGACAGAAGACCTTCCTCTCTGTCTCTCTTTCTCTCTATATATCTGACTTTCCAATAGAAATAAAATAAATCTTTAAAAAAATTGCATCTGTGCACTTTTGGAGAGAATGAAGAAAGGCAGGTGAGGTGGAATGGGGGATATTGGAAGTATGATTATCTTAGTACTGCACCCATGGATTGCATAAAATCTCTTATTTTATATTAATAAACATTTTTAGATTTCTTTTTTATTTTAGACCTAAGTTTTACATGTGCTTTTCAATTTCAAAAATGCATATTATTTAAAATTTTTTTTTACTAAAACAGAACAGATTTCACATATTTCATTGGCTTCATGTAATTTTTAGGTAGGATATTAAATATTCTCTATTCAAGAAAAGGACAAATTTAAGTTTATTTTAAGATTTATTTATTTTTATTGCAAAGTCCGATATATATTGAGAGGAGGAGAGACAGAGAGAAAGATCTTCTGTTCGATGATTCATTCCCTAAGTGACTGAAATGGCTGGTGTTGAGCCGATCACAAAGCCAGGCGCTCTTTCAGGTCTCCCACATGGATATAGGGTCCCAAGGCCTTGGGCTGTCCACTGCTTTACCAGGACAGAGGCAGGGAGCAGGATGGGAAGCAGAGCTGCCGGGATTAGAACCGGCGCCCATATGGGATCCTGGCACCTTGATGACAAGGATGTTAGCCACTAGGCCACAGTGCCTGGACCTATAGGTTTTGTTTTTTAGTTTTTTGGGTTTTTTTTTTTTTTGTTTTTTTATCACATTAGTTTTTTATGTAGCTTCACTATTTTAGGATTGTAACAGAAACAACAAAAAAAAACAACATCTTAAACCAAATTTAAGGTTTATTGGTTTGGTTCTTGAACTGATTTTAATGCTTCCTGAATTACAAATAGTATTTTTAATGTATCAAAAGTAGTGCAGTTTGATTTCTTGCTTTTACAGGACACAAATATCTATTTGGCTGGCACTGAAGAAGGTCATATTCACAAATGTTCTTGTTCATATAATGAGCAATACCTAGATACCTACAGAGGACATAAGGTTAGTTTCATTTTAGTAGGTATGAAGAATTTATTCTACAGTGTTTCTGAAAAAAAATACTGTTTTTACATAGTGTATTTAATAGCATGGCATACGGCTACAATCACAGTTAAAACTACTGGACACTTGGCTCAGTGGATCCGAATCTGCTTTGTATGCTTGCATCCCTTTTTGGAGTTCCTTCGTTTAGGTTCCATTTCTGCTTCTGGTTCAGCATACTAACAGTGCTCATCTTAGGAAGTAGTAGACCATGACTAAATGGGTCCCTACCACAAACATGGAAAACCCAGGTTCATTTCTCAACTTTTTGTTCAGTTTGGCGAGTTCCATCTTGTGGAAATTTGAGGAGTGAATAAATGGATGGAAAACAGGTTTCTTTCCCCCTTTGTTTTAAATAAATTTGAAAATAAAAAAATACTCAGTGAAATAATTAAATATACTGCAATAATATGATGTTAGATTTTCTGCATTTTTCTAAAACTATAATGCCATGGTGCACATGGTAACCAAATGTTGGACTGTTGCTGGAGTACTATATGCTGAAATGACATGCGGGGGGATGATGGGAGGGCATGAGGGGAGAGTGAGAGAGGAGGGAAAGAGAGGAATCCCTATACCTACAAAACTGCAGCATGCAAAATAATAACAATGATTTAAATAAATTAAAATTAAATTAATTTGCCAGTTATCACATTTTTAAAATATCAGTTTGAAATAAGTACTGTCTTGTAAATTAAGACATTTTATTTAGCTTCTTGATACCCTTGATTTTCTTTCAAGTCGTGGAAGACACAATTTTTATTTGTCTTAAAAAATGCTTTTTTTATAACATCTAATCCCAAAGTAGATATAGTCCATTTGTTGTACATATTCTCTGGTTTTATAATTTTTCCAACCATGCTTCCTTTATTTTCTCTCTTGTTTCTTTTTTCTTAGCATTCTTTATAATCCTTTATTAACAACTCTGTTTTTGTTGTATCTGAGATCATTCAAGGGATGATGCAATTTATCATCCTACTCCCAGATAAAATTATATCCACATGAACATGGATGCCGTATAAATCTTCTATAAAGTTTAGTATGTTTAAATGGAAGGTCAACTATAAAATATAAGACACGAAATATTCACCTATATTTTACTTTGTGTATTCCTACCTAGGGGCCAGTGTATAAAGTAACGTGGAATCCATTTTGTCATGATGTGTTCTTAAGCTGTTCTGCCGACTGGGGAGTTATGATATGGCAACAGGAGAACCTTGAACCATTTTTGAGTTTTTATCCAACTACTTCTGTTGTTCATGATGTTGCCTGGTCCCCGAAATCATCTTATATATTTGCAGCTGCAAATGAGAGCAGAGTGGAGATTTGGGACCTTCACATAAGCACGTAAGTGATGAAAATTAATGATTTCTGAGTAATAATTCTAGTAGATGCAATTGAAATGAAAATAATAAAACCTAACATTGGGTGGAGTATTGTATGAGTTTAAAATTGATTATGACAGTCTTTTATGAATAAAAACATACTTCATATACGTTAACATATATATTAATGCTAGTTAATTATACCTCATGTAGTTTTTAACACATATGATTGAAAATAATTTTTGCTATATCTTTAAAGTTTTATAAGCTATTCTTATTTATTGCCTGGTTTACAGAGGAATACACAAAGGCCTGATTACATTTTAGCTGCAGAATCCCTATTATAAGATAAGGGAGGGCCTGGTGCTGTGGCCTAGCGGCTGAAGTCTTTGTCCTGAATGCGCCAGGATTCCATGTGGGCGCGGGTTCTAATCCTGGCAGCTCTGCTTCCCATCCTGCTCCCTGCCTCTGTCCTGGTAAAGCAGTCGAGGACAGCCCAAGACCTTGGGAGCCTGCACCCGCATGGGAAACCCAGAAGAGCTCCTTGCTCCCAGCTTCAGATTGGCACAGCACTGGCAATTGCTGTCACTTGGGGAGTGAATCATCAAATGGAAGATCTTTCTCTTTATTTCTCCATCTCTATGTATATCTGACTTTGCAATAAAAATAAGTAAATCTTTAAAAAAGATAAGGGAAACATAGTAATTATTTTTGCAATATTTATTCTCTTTATTTCAAAACATATTTTAAGGAGTTTGTACTTAATTAGAAAATCTGACTTAGAATGTTATCCAGGGTATTAGAAGGTCATCTAGCTAATGTAGATTTAATGTGAAAATTGGTGTAACTATACAATAAAATGGTTAGTGATTCTACTTTCTCATTTGGAAATTGCCATATATCTGCTGGTTGTTAACAGAAGTAATAGGAAAGTAAATTGTTTAAAATACATAATTAGGGAGTCAACATAATGGCTCAGTTGGCTAATCCATCTTCTGCAAATGCTGGCATCCCATAGGTGTACAGGTTCATGTCCCAACTGCTCCACTTGCTATTCAGCTCCCTTCTTGTGGTTTGAAAAAGCAAAGAAGGATGGCCCAAAGCTTTGGGATCCTGTACCCATTTGGGAGACCTGAAGGAGACTCTAGGATCATGACTTTGAATCAGCTCAGCTCCAGCTGTTGTGACTTTTTTGGGGAATAAACCAGTGGATGGAAGATCTGTCTTTTTCTCTCTGCAGATCTACCATCCAATAAAAATAAATATATTTTTTAAAACTACTGATGTTAAATTCAAACCTATTCCTAGCGATAAAATTCTTTCCGATAAGTTAATAATTCAGTAAAATTTTATACTAGTTTATTCTATAAAATAACAGCAATCAGAAGTCAAATATTAGCTTTCAAAATAATGTATTCTTTAGTATGAGATGTCCAACTTAAAGATTTATTTCTTTTTTTTATTTTTATTGGAAAGGCGGATATACAGAGAGGACAGACAGAGAGGAAGATCTTCCGTCCGATGATTCACTCCCCAAGTGAGCACAATAGCTGACGCTATGCCGTTCCAAAGCCAGGAGCCTCTTCCAGGTCTCCCACGCGGGTGCAGGGTCCCAAAGCTTTGGGCCGTCCTCGACTGCTTTCCCGGGCCACAAGCAGGGAGCTGGAAGGGAAACAAGGCTGCCGGGATCAGAACCAGCGCCCATATGGGATTACAACCGGCACCCATATGGGATCCCAGGCGTGCAAGGCGAGGACCTTAACCACTGTGCCACTATGCCGGGCCCAAGATGTCCAACTTATAAAGCCATTGCTTAAATAATCCTACTTTTTTCCACTTTTTAAATAATGTACATGTTTGTAAGGTAATGGGAGAGAGGGATACTCTTCTGTTGGTCCATTGTTCACAACAACCAGGACTGTTTAAGGTGAAAACTGAGAGCTTGGAATTCATTCTGAGTCTCCCTGGGGTGGCAGAGACCAGGTGCTTACTCCATCATGGGCTGCCTCCAAGGGAGTGCATTTGCAGGAAGCTTGAGTCAGAAGCAGAGCTGGGACATGAACTTGGGCATAGCAATTTGCTATTTCTGATCTAATTTTTGAGGAAATATGTGGATTTTTCTCACTGGGTCAAGAAAATGTCTTGTTCAAAATATCCTTTCATGTCTCATATGTTCATTTCATTAGTGGTTTCTAGGGGTCCTTCTGGTGTCTGTCATAGAGCAGTAAGACTCGAGCAAGAATTGCTCAAGGGAAATTTACTTCTGTTAAGTAAAGGAGACAGTGAGAACCTATGGTTCTTTCCGTAATTTGCCTCCCTGAAAAGCTGCTTGCCAAGGCTTTTACAGCGAGGGATAGGGACTGTACTTGGCACAGAGATTGGAAGTAGAAGAACCTTTCATTGCCCAGTAGTATGTATCTTCAAATGTTGTATGTTCAGAAATTTGACCCAGGTTAGTCTCTTGCTTCTGATTTCCTAGCACAACATTGCAAGGTATGCTTTCCTAGAACATCCTTTGAAAGGTAGGTACAAAATCTTTACATTCTCTACCCATGTTTCTGTGCCTGTCCATTGCTGGGATACAATCAATATTTACATTGTATATGAGAGCATTCATCTGCTAAAAATGAAGTATTATTAAGACATTGTGTTAGCCTGCTTCTGTGATACAGAACCAACAGAATGTAGGCATGTGTGTTTAGGCCTGTGTCTATGTATGCATATTTAGAGAAATTTCCTTTTAAAAAATTAGTTCATACTATTATGGATCCTGCCAAATCTAAAGCTTACATGAATCTGGCAAGAGCCCTGTGGTGGCTTGGAGCCTCCAGGCATTCTACAAGTAGAATTTTATTTCACTTTGGGTGAATTAAGTTGTTACTCTTTAGACCTTCAGCAAATTGGATAAAATCTAACTATTTCTTGGAGAATAATCAGCTTTATTCGTGTTGTGCTGATTTAAATGTTAAATGGCATCTTAAAAATATCTATAACAATATGCAGAATGTTGGACTTAACAACTAGATATTAACGTCCAGCTAAGTTGGTGTACAAAACTAGTCATCAGAAAAAATTAAATGTACAAATTCACATCTTTTTTTCCCACATTTTATTTTATGATACAGTTCCATATTCCCTTATCCCCTCCCCAATTCCCTCCCCCCCCCCAGTTCCTTTATATCATTACTAACATATAGTTCTTCATACTCAGTCATATGTTCATCATTGCGGGCATGGACAATGGCAGAGAGTCCAGAATCATGTTGTCAAAATATAATATAAACAGATTCAGTGTAAGTCCATCTTTGTCTGGAAACAAATTCACATCTTAATTGTGCAGTGCTTTAATTTACCTTATTTAAGTTGGTTCATTGAAAAAAAAAAATGAAGGTTCTGAGTGAATAATGTGTGAATGAGAACTAGTTAATTTGAGTTTAGAAACCCTTAAAGACGTTCTTGGTTTTCGTCACAGGAAATAAAGAAAATGCATCAAGCTTTATTAGTCTGTGTTGTAAAAAAGATGGTTTTCAATTTTATAACTGATTTTACAAATAAATAATATTTCATTGCAGTTTGGACCCTCTGATTGTGAATTTTGCTAATCCTGGAATAAAATTCACAACTGTTCTCTTTGCCAAGCAAACTGACTGTCTTCTGGTGGGAGATAGTGATGGTCAGGTCACTGTGTATGAACTAAACAATATGCCTACTGCTGTGGGTTCTGGCCGGGTAAGACTGAAAGATGGAAATCCATACTCTTTTATGAGTCTTTTGAGTTGCAAAATTTTGTAGCATGCTAGGGCTTAACATGGTCAGGAATAGGTCAGTCACAAGAAGTGACCACTAAGTATAGCTTACAGTCCACCCCCAATAAATAGAAAATAAAAGTTATTGTTTAAAACATGATAGCATTCTCACTTATCAAATTAGCAGATTTAGATTTAAAATTTGTGAGACTTTTTAATATTGGCAAACATTTGATCAGGTCTCATATTGAAGATTCGAATACAAATTGTTAAAACTTTCTCACAAAAATAAGAAAATGTGGAATCTAAATTATAAACTGGATTTATAAAAATTTAAGTTTTAGTCATATCACGTGCTAGTTAAAACTGTAGGAAATCAGAAACTCTCATACTATGACCATGAGAATACAAATTATAATGGTCTGTTGGCGGAGCAGTTAAAAAAATAGAAAATTCAAATATATAAACTAGCGCTATTTTAGCAATTTACATTTTAAAAAATATCTTCTAGGAGACATGTATAAATTAGTGCTGAGAGAAACTGAATGGACAAAAACTTAGTCATTTATTCATTCATCTCACAAATAAATAATTATTGAATATGCACTATGTTACAGAATCTGTTTTAGACTCTAAGGATTCAACATTAAACAAATTATAGTAGTTACCTATTTCAATAGTCGGATTGAGAAGCATATTAAGATTAAAATCGATAAGACTCAAGCAGTATTAGTATTATTAAATGAAAATACAAAACTCACGTGAAAATTGAGAAATTCTACTATCTTGAATCACACATTTTCAGATTTGGAAAGGCCTTAAGATAGCATTTAGTTTAACAGATGTTTTACAGTTGAGAATGTTTAAGCTTTAAGTCTAAACAAAAGTTGCCAAAATTGCCCTGAGCCATTGTAAAATTATTTATCAAACTACTTTAAAACACTCTTTGATAGGAAAGAGCATGGATACTAGGAAGTTTCCATGACTGGTTAAACTTACCTTTGTTCCTTTTTTATAGTCTTATTGGGGCCTTTTATATGTATATCACTAACTTATAAATTTTATAGGACATCGTAAAGACTTATTTGTCTTTTGGTTACATATTATTACGTTGTAATTGTGACTTTTTTTCTTTCAGGGAAATATAATAAGCACTTTGCTTGGACCAAAATCAAACCAATCAGCATAATTCACTCTTAATATCTTTTTTGGTTGTTCCTTAAAACTAAAATGAACAGTGCCTAATATTTTCCAGGTTGTTTTATATGAGGCAAGGTGTAATTTTGATTTTTTTTTTTGAGATTTTGATATTTAAAAATAACTTCAATTTCACCTTAATGAAATTTTATTTCACAGATATGTAATTGCTTTGTACTATAAATTAACAATTACTCTTAGAGTTTTGTTAGAATTAAAAAAAATTTTTTTCTAAAGATGTTTCCACACTATTTCTTGGTCACATTGCAAGTCCACATATAAACTGTCCACAAAGGTTGGAAATTATTTCTTTATAAACAAAACTAAGAAATCACTAGTATACTTACACCAAAAAACTTTATGATAAATATTACACTGGCTTTTTTGTCTTCTGCTTTTTAAGTTGTTTCCAAGAATTCATAGTAATGCTGTTGGTTATTAGTGTTATGAGAATAGCAGATTCCCATACCTAACTTTGAGTCAAAATTTTATCTTCCTAGATCTGAGAACTGAAGCTTTTGTTAGATTGGGAAACATAGGCTATAACTGCAAATATCAGAATTACACTGTTTAGCCAGCAAGCATCACATTCCCAATTCAGTGACAAATTAATCTAGGTCACATGGGAGCACGCTTGTCATCAGGGCACGAATCTGCTTTGGAATTTAAAATTGGCTGAGAAAATATAAAGTCTGACGTACAGACCACTCAGGATATCATTTTAGGAAGGGGTCTAAAGAGAGGCTGGGAATAGGGAGCTGACTCCTCCAAATACAGATTGCTAGCAAAGCTATTCCACGTAGCATGTTTTAGGAGTCCTGAGTTTGTTAAAGGAGTCTGGAGGACCTTACAGTCTAATCTACAAAGTGTTCAGATTAGTGGGGAAGTGATAAGGCAAATGAAACTCACTCACCACTCAGGGAAAAAATATCTGTATCAGCAACTGAAATGGGATAATGTACTGGTAGAAACTTCTCCATTTCTTTGAGCCATTCTTTAAACAAAAGCAAGGCAACTTTTACATGACTCAGCTTTATCCAAGAAGTGCTGGAGGCCAGCTCCGGCCAAGTTCAGAACTCTAGAAGGGTGTGTGGAGTTGGCATTTTAAAAGAGGTAAAGAGAAAAGATGGACCACTACAGTTTCAGGATCATAATGGACGATGCAAGAGAGCTGTTCGTTTTATGATACAGAAGCAGTCACAAACTTTACATCATGGTCAAGTGGATGTTTCCAAAGATAATTCTGATATTTGTTTCACCTTAAAGCAGGGCATTATCCTTATTATCCATTCTGATCCTGCAGTCAGGAATTTCTTAGTAGACAGCACATATCAATCAGTAATATATTCTTACTACATTCCTCATTTTACAACTTTATCCTGTCAGTTAAAGGAGAAAATAGATCACAGAAGAAAAAATCTAAAGATCAAAAAACAACCCTAGATAAGTCTAAGAGTGTGTTGTACAGTGTTAGTGCAAACATTCTTGAGCTCTTCCAGCCATATGGCCAATGGGTGTGATTGAGAGTATGATTTATTAAATGCTTGTTCACCAAGATGTTATCAATACCATCAACTCCCAAGCTGACATTGGTTGTAAAAACCAACTCCCAGGGGCAAAAAATAGTGCCTCAACAGATTATAGAATTCTCAGTGGGGTAGTTGGGTGCCCATGCAAAAGGGGGTGAAATTGCTTTGAGGTCATTGGAGAGATATCTGCCAGGCCTTGCCATGAAGCAGGAAGCTCCTCCTAGGCTTGCCAGCAGGAGAGAGGTTATCTTCACACCTTCTTGTCATCCATACCTGTTTGGTCCAAAAGATCCCCAAACCACGGACAGACAAGTTCCACATGCAACAATGCAAAAGCAAAGAAACTTTATTGCTAGCTTGAACTAGGGTCTATGTCTCATCCATCGCAGTGGAGTCTTGACAAGGACCCTGCTTGTCTCTTGCAGACTGTTTTTATTCCCTCCTAGTCACGTACAACACATCTCGAGCAAGCAATTCTTATCTTGGTACTGATGTAGGCCACATTCCATTTGTGGACATGCGGATGCCCCTGATTGGCCCATCTCCAAGGTTGTTGCCCCCTGCCAACTCCATCACTCTGCGGAAAATGAAACTTTGAAGTGAAGTGAGACTTAGGCCTACTCACCAACCTTAGGCCCGTCATGGCGTTGATCCTGTTTTTTTATACAGCAAAGCCAAGCAACGATTACAGAAGCCAAATATAGTGGTTATGCTAACAGTTAAAAAACTCCCTTAACACTACTATTGTTAAGAGTAAATACTGCCTCCCAGCCTTGTACCCCCAACTACACATGGATCCCAGCAAAGAAGTAGTATGATGTAGGAAGGACCACAGCCTATTTTTTTAAGATTTCTTTTTTTGAAATTCTGTTTGAAATGCAAAGGTACAGAGAGAAGGACAGAGGGAGATTTGCATTGGCTTGCCCACAGGACTGGAAATGGAGCAGCGGGGACCTGAGCCTGGTGTTCATATGGGATGATGGTGCCACAGGCAGAGGCTTAATCTTCTATACAATGGTGATACACCACCACCATCTATTTTGTAACCTTCCTCCATGAAAACAGCGATATGCAAAAGCAGCAGAGATCCACCAGAATGGAAAAAGCAAGACAGCCACAGAAGCGTCAGTTGTGTTGATCAAGAGCATTGGCTCTGAAAGTGTGGCTACAATTACATTCAAGGAAGGAGAAAGAAACCAGGCCCAAGTTGAACTGATGTTAACCTATTTAGTACATTGTTTTTGCTAGTTGGGTGGAATAAAGACTTGCAATCAGAAACAAAACTGAGTTACAGAAAATATAGTTGCTTTTCTTGGATATGATTGAGTTTCTAAGCCAAGATTCACACTTGCTGTGCTAAATGATTTTATGGTAATTTGCTTAGAGCCTGTTTTGCTCCAGACTGAAAGCTCCTACTGGGTAAGACTGTGTTTTGTTCACTGTATTGTATCTCCAGCACCTAGAACAGTACTCTCCACAGAGTGCTAAAACTATGAATATTTGCTGAATGAATGAACTATCAAACAAATGAGAAAATTATGGCTTCCTGTTTGCCGTTTATTACAACACAGTCTAACACTTGAAATGTATTTTCCTTAATATTCTAACAAGGTATCTGAACATCACAGGGAATAAAACATTTTAACTGTGGGAAGTATAGAGAACATAGAATTAGGGAAGTTGATACGCATAGTCATGGATTTCTTATTTTGTAACAATATAAGATTGTTGTAGGGTTTTCAACCTGGAATACGGCAGCAACTTCAATTCTTGTCTCACAGGAAAGAAGAATTTTCATGCGGACACAGTTTAGTTTTAAAGCAAGATTTATTAGAAAAGCTGAGAAGAAGAGCTCCCGTCCTAGTGTTGTAGGGTTTTTGGCTGATACTTCAGATGGGGAATTGATATGCTAATTGTCACCCTTGTCCCTTGGAAGAAATGTGCTCTGGTGAATCTAAGACATAGTGGGGAAAACGTCATTTTATCTTTGAGAAGAAAATGGTTTGGGGGCCCAGAATGCCCTAACTGCCCACTACCCAGTCTAACTCCTCACACACTAGTGATGGGAGGGGGCTTCAAGAGAGAAAAAACCCTGCCATACATCCTGCCATAGTGGCAGAAGGAAGAGAGAAAACCCTAGACCACTGCCATAGTGGCAGGAGGAGAGAAAGAAAAGCCCAAATTAATAGTGGGGACATGTCTTTTAAAAGTTCACCTCCAAGGAGTTTCTCCATAAACAAAGGAGAATTCCTGGGTACCATGGTACCTGTTCTTGGGACAAAAGGCCCAAAAAGGTGTTACAGGTGAACTTCCTCAGTCTTTGTAATGATAAAGAGAACAGTCTGTCACTACCTCCTTGGCAATGGCCAAGAGATGGAATTGAGCTGGCGCTTTTGGTGGGGAACTGGTACCTTAATGTCACCCTTGTGTCTGTTGGGAGCTTGTTGTTGATATGTTAAATATGCACTTGTCTCTTGGGGAAAATATGCTCTGATGAATCTAAGACATGGTGGAAAAAATATCCTTTTATATTTGAGAAAAATGACTGGGGGATCCAGAATGCCCTAACTGCCTACTACCCAATCTGACTCCTCTCACACTGTAACAGACTGACTTGTTAGTTCAGGGTTTTGAATAATCAAATCTGCTTCGGATCCACAGAGCATTTACTAGGCTATTCACCTTCACCTCCTCATTTGGTGATAAAGCTAAAAAAAACTGAGAGTTTACATGAACTAATTATTGCATTAGAAAGCAAAGAATGGTCATTAATTGGGAACACAATAGAACATTATTATGAATCTTATAAACACTTTTTCTGAATCAATAAGATATGAATGTAACATCATCCAGATCAATTTGAAAAGTATGCTTTTGGGGATGGCATTGTGGGTATAACTGGTAAAGTTGCTACCTATGACTCTGGCATTGGGCAACAGGTTGATTCCCAGTTTCTCCACTTGATCCATCTCCCTACTAATGTGTCTGGATTGCCCACATGATTGGGCTGCTGAACTCACCTACGAGATCTGAAAGAAGCTCCTGGTGGGTCCTGGCTTTCACCTAGCTCTGCTCTGGCTATTGTAGCCATCTGTGGAGTGAACCAGCAGATGGAAGATCTCATTTTATCTCTCCATATATCTCTCAACACTTTCAGATAACTCAATACATCTTCCTAAAAATTATATTTATTAAAAAAGCGAAGGAGTTGCAGAAGCATGTGAGTGTCTGATTACAATGGAGAGGGTTGGAATTGATGGGGAGAGGTGAGTGAGATAAATATTTCAGTTTCTGGTAGCCAGCTGGGCTCGGCTAGGCTGTAACTCCCACAAGTGTGAACTGGTACTGAGGGTGGGCTCAGCCCAGCCAGACTGCAGAACCCACTGAAAAATGCCAAGGTGAGGCAGACCATGCCAGACTGGGTTGCAGAACCCAACTAGCACTCATGAGAACCCAGGAAGGG